AAACAAAATGTGGTATATCCATGCAACAGATTATTATTCAGCAGTTAAAAGGGGGAAAGTACTAATATACTGTACAATGTACAACATGGCTGTATATTGAAAATATGCTAAGTGAAAAGAACCAGACACAAAAATTGACATATTGTATGATTCAACTTTTATGATATGTCCAATATAGGCTAATGAGTATGAGGCTTCTTTGGGCATGATGAAATTGATTATGGTGATGGTTGCAGAACTCTGAATATATTAAAAAATCATTTAATTGTACACTTTTCATGGGTTGGTTAACTGTATGGTATATGAATTATACCGCAACAAAGCTGTTTTTTTTTTTAACCCACTGCAATAAAATGGACAAGAAAAGGTCTAAGGGAGCAAAGTTATTCTATATTTTAAAAAATCTCTTTTGGTGGATTTGTTTACAATTAGATCTAGCAGATAAGAGATTCTTCCAAGTGTATTTCATACAAGCAGGGACACTGTACGGTTGGGCAGGTTGTACACTCAACAATATACTCAGCAGTATGTAGCAACCCTGTCCAAGTGGAACTCCATCTCAGACTGCATACTTTCTGGCCTGGGAAAGCAGAGCTGACCTGTGCCCTTAACCCTTTGTGTCCACAATCAAATAGTGGTTATTCATTTCTACTCATTCTTTCCCATTTCAGATGGCCCAACTCACCTATATCCCCTAAACAATTCCCCTTCAAATGCATGGCACACAAAAGAAGGCCAACACCAAGGGTAGAATGGATGTGAAACCCCACTCTTCCTCCTGGTTGGGTTTGAAGCATTTCTATTTGCTTCCTGAGTCTGTACTGACCATCTGGGAACTCCATCTGTCTCCTCCCAGGCCCTGCAACCCTGGACTGTGATTCTTGCTAACAATTGATTGCCGTGATTCCAGTTCAACAAAAATGATTTGGAGTTTTACGTTGAGTGTTAAAAAAAACTCTTAATTATCCCCCGATGGCTTAACATAGAAAACACACTTTAACTGCTAAAGGAAAGTAAACCCTGCTTACTGAACAGTTTTTTTTTATTATTTTTGAGAATAAAATGAGAAGATACATGTAAAAAAACACTTTGAATGTTTATAGAGAACAAAAGATTTGATAGCTAGAAAATAATTAGGGAGTTGCTAGTAAAGCACTTCAAGCTGTGTGTCCTTAGGCTAATGACTTTACTTCTCTGGGCTGCAGTTTATCCATTTGCAAGTTGAGCAAAATGGTAGTACTCTTTTCATAAAGTTGTTGTGACTATTACATGAATTAATATATATTAAGAACTTTAGAAAAATATCTAGTTCCTACCTTGCTATTATTGTAGTGTTTGCTATTATTATCATTTCATTATACATTCCAGATTTTACTTGGAATGAATTTTGGAGGGATCCACTCCAATGTGTTGGCTACCAATTTATGGATTTCTTCTTATCTTGACTCCAATTTTTCTAAATAAATACTAATTGAACAGCATAATTTAGTGCTTAAGAATCTGATTTTGGAGCTGATCATCTGGATTTTAAACCTGGTTCCATCATTTCCCTATAATCTCTCTGAGCCTCAGTCTCCTCATCTGTTAAATGGGTTAACAGTAGTACCAACCATATAGGATTGTTGTGCAGGTTAAGTGAGTTACTACACATGAGGACTTAGAACAGAGCCTGGTACATACATAATAAGCACCATGTAAATGCTTGCTATTATGATTAAGTTAGGTTCCGAATATGGAAATATTACTGATGGTCTTATGATCATACTTCCTACTCTTCTGGGTTGCTGCTACAGGAAAAAAAAACTCCAATGATGTCGGTTTTTATGGCTGAGTAGTATTCTATTGTATAAATATACCACATCTTCTTTATCCAGTCGCCTGTTGATGGACATTTAAGCTGTTTCCATGTTTTGGCTATTGTAAATAGTGCTGCTATGAACATTGGGGTGCAGGTGTCATCCTGAAGTAGGGTTCCTTCTGGATACAAATAGACTCATAGACAGAGAATACAGACTTGTGGTTGCCAGGGGGGTAGAGGGTGGGAAGGGATAGATTGGGATTTCAAAATTGAGGAATAGATAAACAAGATTACACTGTATAGCACAGGGAAATACACACAAAATGTTATGATAACTCACAGAGAAAAAAATGTAACAATGAGTGTGTATATGTCCATGAATGACTGAAAAATTGTGCTGAACACTGGAATTTGACACAACATTGTAAAATGATTATAAATCAATAAAAAATGTTAAAAAAACTTCAATGATAATCAGATGCAAACTAAAGCCACCCTTTCATGCCAAGGTAGTCCTTACTGCTGGAGAAGAAACCCAGGTTATCCATTCTGAGCTTACAGCCCAGAATTTACAATAGGTTAAACATTTAAACAAGTTAAGCACAAGGGAAAACAGCTAATAGGAACCACTCAAGGTAGTTATGTCCTCACGCAAATTCAGATTTCAGGAACACACAAATGATCCATGCATTCAAAGGACAGTGAATACAATTTTGCCCCCCACAACAGGGCAATGTTTGTTAGGAATGTGGAGGGAGGGCTACAGTTGATGATGAAACAATTAATCACACTTTTAGAACGGCTCAGTGACTCCCATTTTTCCCATTTGCACTTTCCAAGGCTCTGTTCACCCTGTGGCTAAGATGAACATCCCTTAGATGCAAGGTCATAAGGTCCAGAACTATGAGCGCAAGTACTGTTGAGCTAGTCCTGACCTGGTGAGCCTGCACCAGTAGAGAAAGAGATAAAAGAATAAACTTGAAAGCAAGATCAGTTTTTAAATCTTCATAATATTATGCTGACAGGTCCTGGGCACAATGATGTCTGACTATAAAAAAAAAAAAGGAATGACAACAACTCATACTAAACAAATTTCTTCCGTATAGCAGGGAACCATATTCAATATCGTATAATAACCTTTAATGAAAAAATATTAAACGAGTATATGTGTGTGTATATATATACATGACTGGGACATTGTGCTGTACACTAGAAATTGGCACATTGTAACTGACTGCACTTCAGTAAAAAAAAATCCATACTAGACCCCAGGCCAGTGAAGGACCCCAGTCCTACTGGAGTATGGTCATGAAATCTGGACCTTGTATGCTAAAAAATAGGCAATTTTCTTTTGTAAATTGTGATTAGTTTGGTTAGATTAGAATTTGAAGGATCAGAGGGAATTTGACAGACTATGCGCACCCTCAAGGGGTTACCTCTGAAGAAGTTCTTACTGATTCACATAGAAATTATTTAACCATCTGAAAAATTTAGGGAATTACAAAAGCAAGTGGTGAATGCTAATGTCAGCCAATGATGAAGAAAAATGTATAGAAACATAAAAAAATATTTATCTTGACATACTATTATGTACCTATAGTGTGCATATGAGAATTTGGACCTCCAAATTTAAATATGTGGGAAGATTTATCAGCATCCTACTTAAGGATCTCTTTATGAGCCACAAAATATCTGTTCTCAGGAAGGGGGCCTCCTTCCTCCAGATCTCTCTTCTCACAGAACAGAGGTTCTTATTAAAACCAAGTGTAGAAAAGAAAACACTGACAGATTGAACATATAAAAATCCAAATGCTTCATTTAACGAAAGATATTGTAGACAGAATTAAAAGACAAGCTACCAATAGAAGAATGTACCAATAATATATACATAACGAGGAAGATAATAATATAATAATACAGAGAATCTACAAATCCATAGAAAGAAATAGCAAAACCCCCAAATGGGCAAAGGACAGGAAGACAAATTCACAAAAGAAACAACCACAATAATACATGAAATACTTTGAACCTTAATAATATGTAATGAAGCACAAGTTAAAAATAGAACATTCCTTGTTTTGGCTAATCATAAGGGGAAAAATTTAAATATTAACAGTAACACAAAGAATCTAACGTTATATTGTAATTTCCATCTTCATTAAAATGAAGAGGATTTTAAAATCTCCTTATGACTAATTTCATTTATTCAACCAATATTTACTGAAGGCATCTAAAGCCAATTACAGTGCTAGACCAGGCAATAGTTAGTAAAATGAGTAAAAAGACACCTACAAGAAAACTGTAGTCTAGTCGATAGACCATTATTTTGCATTGCTACCACTGATTTGCAACTTACATAGTTGTAAAATAGCTCCCATGGAATCAGAGTCAGGTAATGCAGAAGGGTGATAAATTTCCACCAACCACAACTTTTACCCTACAGACAAAATTAAATATTCAGGGCCGTATCAGAAATACCACACTAAAGAATTTGGACTTTCAATTAATTTCAGTCTTTGAGCAAAGGAGGTTCATGAAGGGTCAAGCTGCAAAATGCCAGGATACCCTTTCATTGGAGGGGCAAGGCCTGGCAGCAGGTAGAAGCTGACTGGAACAGCACAAGGATGGAGGCATCAATAAAATTTAGGAGGCTGAAGCAGGAGATCAGTCAGAATCTGAGAGCCAGAGTCAAAGTGAGTGGCCAATGAACACAGAAAACTGAATCAAGCAATCTAATGGATGTGGATGTGGGGAGTGAAGTGGAAAGAAGCTTATCCCCTGATGGTTTCTAGGTTTCTGGCTTACACAACTGGATAGATGGTAGTGCATCCATCAACACAGGAGGAGCAAGCCCCTGAGCAAAGGTAAGGTCAGTTCTGCACAACTAGAGCTTTAAGTACCTTTAGGATGTCGGGAAGGCAGATAGAAAGTGATCCCAGATGATCTGCGGTGGAGTTAGAAGCCACTTGGTGTGTGGGGGCAGCCAGGCCTCCAGAGGCAGGAGGTAACGCGGCTCCTGAATAGTTCCGGAGGTTTCAGCCCAGCGGAAGGCCACCGGGCGGGAGTAGCCCCTCCTCCGCGGCGCAGCAAAGCCACAGAGGCGCGGGCCGCAGACGTTCACGGTCTTTCTGCCGTCGGGCCCCTCCGCACGCCTGCCCGGGCTGCGCCACGCAGGCCCATTTCCGCTTCCGGTCCCAGGGCCTAGGTGGCGGGCTGCGCGCGGGCGGGACTGAGGGCTGCAGGTGCCTGTCGGCGGGAGCAGCCTTCGCGCGGGACGCGGGCTCCTGCGGGCGGGAGCGGCGGGCCTCAGCAAGCAGACCTGCTGCCCGGGCAGATGTGGCGGCCACCACCCTCGGGCCGCAGGACGGCCCTGAGACGTGGAGGCTACACGCGAGGCTCGAGGAAGCGAGGCCGGCGTCCAGGGCCAGGCGAAGCGGGAGGCGGCGGCCCTGAGGCCGCGGCGCGTGAGGAGAGCAAGCAAAAGAGGAGGATGGTGGCCCGGGCGTCTGGGAGAGAAGAGGTGAACAGTGACCAGTCGGGTGAGGCGTCCAGGGCTGGGAAGGCCTCGGCAAGGCGGCGAGTGGAGGGGCCGGGAGGTCAAGCGGGCCCTTCAGACCAGTCGGACCAGCAGGGCCTAGAAGCAGCGAAGGAGGCGGAGCTCCCGTTGCAATCCGGAAGACAGAGTAAGACAGCACTGAGGGGTCACCCCTTACTAGCCTTTGCACCCCTTCCTCTCAATCCATGTTTTACCTCTAGTGTTTCCCTTGAATCTGAGTGGGCTTTACTGATACACACGGTTGACCAGGAGGGGGTGGGGGGAAACAGGGATTCCCTTAAAATGTGTTTGCCCCGTTGAGATCCCTTGGTCAGAAGTTCTGTGAGGGGAGTTCCTCTTAGTGATCCACTTTGACTAGTGTGATATGATGATAATACTAGAGGTTATTTAGCTGCCTTAGAACTTATACAGATTTGTATGTAGTTCTTTAATAGACATTAAACCTTTGATTTAAAAACAAATAAATGTTTCCATAAAGCTATTTGGGGAAATTAAAAAAAAAGGGTGGCTTCACAGTATTTTTTATTATAAGTGATACTGCTTTTTATTCCTCAATATAAAATCTTTTGTGGTATGTTTTGTTGTTTTGATCAGCCAAGGAAAAAAGAAAACTTACTGAAGCCTCAAGTGATGCTCTACAGCCAGGAATTGACCTAGTAAGAAAGGAATCATTAACCAGTTCGGAACCTTTCCAAACAGTGGAATGCAGTGAGTTTCAAACTATGGCTTTCTTGCAGCCTTTGGGTAAGGAAGGTTTGGTAGAAGGTATTAAAAGAAGAATTCGAATTAAACTTAAAAGCTTAGAAAGCCCACCTCTCAAAATAACCAAAAACAAGGCTCCCCAAAATATTACGGTTGAATTTCAAAGTGAACTGTACAAGAATACTCCGAAATATTCTTGTAACAGCTTGTCACCTGGAGTAGAAAATAATCCCATTTTAAAATTACCTAATTGCAGTTGTTTCCCCCGTTCCAAGGGCTGTAATGATGAAAATAACCTTGCACCTAAACCTGATGTTGGATGTATACATGTATCAGAAGATACCTCAAAGTTAAAGAAAGAAAGTCCTAGGAGTCTTGCAGTTAAGAGTGACACAACTATTCCGCAGCTTTTACAAACTGAAGAAAACTTAATGGGAGTTAATAAGTTATTGCTTGAAGAAAATGACTTATACCAAAGTAAAAATAATGGCTTGCTTTCCTGCCTCCTAAGTGAAAAAAATAAAAACTCAGTAGAGGAGAGCAATGTTGGGAGAAAACCCAGAAAAAGGATGAAGGTATCTGAAAAAGAAGAAGAAATGGTTATTGAGATGAAGTTCTCTAATGTGTATAAGAAGTCTGAGCTGGTGTTACCAGAAAGCCAAACAGGTGCTGAAGGTAAAGAAGCAGAGACTTTAGAGGCTAAAAAAAGTCCTTTAAAAGTTTTGAGAAAAGTAAACCATGATACACTGTCAGCAACGGATCATTTGTTAAGTCTTCCAGAAATAGAAGGAAAAAAAACAAGTCCTGAGCATCACGTAAATGCTATGTTCCAGAAAACCCTTGAGCCACTTTTGAAAAAAGAAACGAATGCTTCAGAGTCCTTAGGATGTAAAGGCATAGATCCAGAAGAGTATTCTAAGTCGATGAAAAGCTCAATAATGGAATCACCTAGTGATCGCTACCCTATTGAAAGAAGATCCCCAAGGGAAGACTTGAAGAATGAAGGTGAAGTATCTAAGTTAAGCTGTCACAGAACAATACCAATGACTGGCAAAAGAACTTGGCCTTGTTATTCCTGTGCTAGAACATCTGCCTGGTGTTGGAAAAAGGCTTCCTTGCCACAGTCAAATTTTAACTTTCTTCCTGGGTCTCAGGAAGGTTTTAGGCAAGATGATTTTCTTAAACACCAAACAAATCAAACTCACTTAACTGACTCCAAGTTAATGCTGCAAAGTTCCATAACAGAAACAAACAGTGAATCTTCAAGTAGAGAAAAATTGGATTCTGATTTAAATTGTTTATCTTCAGTCTCTACAGTAGAACCTATTTTAATGGTTATGAAGGAATTTATAAACAATTATGATAAAAAAATGCAGTCAGAGGAACCGAGCAGAAGTGGGTCAGAAGTAGTTTCTAATCCTACTGAAGATGTCCAGTTAACTAACGTGACTCAAAACTTGACAGGAAGTAAAAAAAAAGATAGAGGGAATTTAACAAAGCCTACTTTGACAGTGGCTTCCCAGGATGGCCAGGAAGCAAATAACACCACAGGCGAACTTATTCATCGAAAAGCATGTATTGCTAAGCAGACACTTGTGGTTCCAGATTTCGTTAAGATATTGAACACAGGGTGGCTGACTAATTTTAAAATTCCTTTGCTTAAGAATAAAACAGAAAAAAGAAAAGAAAGAAATGCCAAGTCATCAGAGAGAGAAGTATATAATCCCCTAGAACTTCTTGACAATTTTTCTGGAGCAGAGGTAAGGCAGAATAGGACTGAAGAAAATGTCACCACAGTAACTTCAAGACGTCAGGCTTTGAGCGTACGAAGTAGTGTAATCCCAATGCAAAGCTGTTCCAACTCACACGGCAGTAAGAATTCCTGTATTTCTCCAAGCTTTTTAACGCAAGGTAATAATAATAAACCATCTAACCACATCTCTAAACCAGGCAATATTGTTTCTAATAAGGAAGCTATTTCTCTCCCAGTTGACAATAATACTTCTTGTGATCCTGGGTATATAGAGAAAAGTCCTGCCTTTGGCTCCAATGAAGAAGAAACATTCAAACCAGTTTCCTCTGACGTTAGTGGTAGAAAAATGACTAAGAACTTATCAGAAATTAAAGTTGGGTTTCCAGATATTCTTAAAGCATATGAAGATGATGTCCTCTTAATTGATCTAATTGAAGATGACCCGGACCTCTTTGGAGTCTCCAATGAAGGGGAGCTCTCATTTACTTCAGAGGTTCCCACAATAAGCCAGGAGCTCAATGTTGCTGAAGAGCATCAGTCAGCAGACTCCAAGCATGCGGAGCTTCCAGGAAAAAAAGAACCAAGCGATGACTTGAGGTATGTGTGTTCATGTGTACCTTTTGGTGGAGATTATTGTTGGGGGTTTCAAAAGCACTTTCTGCTCTTAGGTGTCACTAATTTATTCAGTGATCATTGAAGCTCCATTATTTTTTTTAACCTAGTTATTTATTAAATGTAATACAGTATATTATTGCTGAGACCTGGAAAGGTCATTATGCTAAAACTTAGGATTGAAATAAAACAATTATATATATCCTTGCAATTATGATGGAGCAGATTAGCTGTTCAGAATTTTAAATGGTGATTTATAAAGTAACCTTTTCAATTATTTACATTGCTTCTTTCAAAAGTCAATTAAATATACTTTCATATGTTTTTAAATTATTATCAATATGCAGATAGACTTATTTCAGCCAAGTTACTTATTAAGAACAGTGCTGTGTGTTTTAACCCATTTTCCTTGCTAGGTAAAAAACTCATTTTTCAGGGGACAGAGAAGCCTTGGAAAAGTTTATTTGAATTAGGACTTGAAAGTAGAATAAAAATTTAAACTAATTTTCAAAGGGAAAAAGTCTAACATTTTTTCATGGCTTTATTTTTAAGGTGATGATTTTAAATGATGACTTAGCCCTAAAGAGAATGAGTTTGCTTGAGGCAACTAAATTGAACCAAGTAATAAACCTTTGTGTTATTGGAACTTGATCTACCTAGTTGCCCCAAATTTTATTTAATATTATGCCCTATTTTGCTAGATTTTTGTAGTTCTTCAAGCTCTGATTTATATTTGTACATCACAATACTTGAATGTTGGAATGTATTGTGAACAGACTCAAAAGGAAACATGAAAACACTTTCCACTAAGATTCAATGGTACATGACTTAAATTTCTCTGGTATTTATACATTTTAGTTAACTTTTGTGATACTATATTCTTCCTGATGTTCTTGGGGTTACAAGAACTTATAACTTACCCCCAAAGGAAAGACCAAGAGCTTTATCTGTTATTTTTTAAAATAGTGTAATAAGGAAGGATGATAATCTGCCTATTTTGAAGGTGGAAAAAAATGAAGATGTCAGGTTGTCATTTATCCAGGGTCACACTACTAGTAGCAGAATCTAGATTTGAACCCAAGCCTGTCTTACTTTAAAATTAGTGGTTAAGAATGTAACCTTTATAATCTGACCTAGGTTTTTGAATCTTCTTGCCCTAGTAGCTGTGTGACCTTTTAGGTAAATTATTTTACCTTATCTGTGAAAAGGGAAAGTACTTGCCTTAGGGTTGTGAGGATTAAATCAGTGAATGGATGGGAATGGTTTTGGTGTGGCACTGGATGAGTAGTAAGAAGTCAATAAAGGATAGTTATTAAAAGTGCTTGTAACTCTTGTTACTCTGTGCTTCCTTTGAGGAATACAAAGGGAAATTAGAGCAAACCCCTCATTCAAGAGTAAACATCTCTGTTAACTAACAAGATGTTGACAGTGAGCTACAGCCAAAGATAGAGACAAATGTGAACTGGGCATGAAGTTTGTTTTTTATTCTTTCTTTTCTTAGAATAATGTCTGATTTTATAAAAATGATACATGTTCACTATATTAAAAGTCTAAAAGGAAATCTCACCACCCAAAATAACCAGTTAATTACTCACAATTTGTATGCATTATTCCAGACACCTGTCTATGCATATATGTGGTTATAATCTTAGAAAAATTGGATTATGCCATTTTTTAGTAAAAACATTTAATTTTATTTACACTTAACTGAGGGGAGAAGGGCCTGAGGTGAAATTGAAGGAATTGCTGAATCTATGTATTTATGAACAATAATAGATTTATAAAAACAATATTTTTCCTTACTGTAAGTGGTGCATTATCATATTTTGTATTTTATTCTATTTTATTAAAAAATTCTGGTTACAGCCCATTAGATTTCATCAACCCCTTGAAAAATGCTCTGGTAGAGAATAAACTTGCTGTAATCTGTGTCATTCTCCAGAAGTTTGTCTTACTCTCCTCTCCTTTTTGCTCAGATTTTCTCTTTTGTGTCCCTATATTCTGTAGCCTCACCCAGGTCTGTTTCTCTCCTTTCCTCCTTCTGCCTTTTTTTTTTCCCTTTCTGCTCCATCAAGGCAGAACTGTAACTTTCTACTCCAGTAATGCAAAACTGTAATAAAATATTTATGGGGATTGCAGTTTTGTTTATATTTTTCTTAGGTGAATTTAAAATTTTTGTGTCTTGTGTCTTTCAAATTCAAAACAAAAATTACTTCTAACAAAAGTGAGGTGCAATTTTACCTTCTTTGTAACTTAGTTATTCATAGTAAAATGCTTTTCACCCTTACAAACTATACCAGCAATATTAAAAATACTATCACAATACTTTGAAATTAGAGCAGTACATTTGCTGTACCTATTTATGTCTTCTGTTTTTTTTTTTGTGTGTCTGAATCTGTACCTGTTTATGAATGTAACATTCAGGATAATTAGAAACTACAGAAACACCCCTCATTTCTTCTCTATTTATTGTCACTTATTCTATTCCTGCTATTACCTTAATATCTCTCCTGGTTTTTCCTTCCTCTCAGTTCTCACTGCTACCAACTTACTCATATTCCTTCTGGGTTATTTCAGTTAGCTCCTTGTTAATCTTCTTGAACTCTAGCAGTATATCCTCCTCCATAGTAATATTTTGAAATAGAAATTGATCTGCCAGGACTTCTTACAGTGCTCCAGTGGCTTTCAGCCACCTGAGGGTAGAGTCTAAATTGCTTGGCATGACTTTGTATAGCTCTTTAGTGGTTCTGCATCCATTTTTTCTTAGGCAGCTATGGTGTTGGTGGGGAGGAAAGTGAGGTGAGAGGTTAATAAAAGATAAGCAGAGCAGGCAGCTCACTGTTTCCACAATATGTCATGCATTTGAATCCTTTTTGCATGTTTCTTTATCTGAAAGTTCCTTTCTCTTCATTCAGTTGTCCTTTAAGTCACACCTGAGTTGTTATTCTAGGGGTTTGTTCCAGTAGTTCTCTTGGCACACATCTCTATATGTTATGTCTTCTTTAAATGCACCTCTTCCAATACTACGAGTTCCTAGGCAGGAAAGGGGCATCTTCATTTGGGTCTCCATAGAGTCTGGCCAGGAGGATGTTAGATGCTCAATGTATGGAGAACAACTCAACGCACAGGAACCTTGTTCTCACAGAGCTTTTAGTCTAGCAAGGAAGGCAGATGATTAAGCGAATACATAAAATATGGTAAGAGAAGTGCAGGATGTTAAAGGCCTCCTGGTCTGAGTGATGTTTAAGATGAACACTAAAGAATGAGTAGGAACTAGCCAATAGGTGAAGACAAGTTCAGAGTAGAAAAGTGAGGGGAAGGAATAGCCTATAGGAAGGTACCCAGGGAAGAACACGTAACAGCTGAGAGTCAGAAATAACATCCCATGGTTTAGTGGTCAGGTGGCGAGAAATGAAGCTACCAAATATGCAGAAAGGTCAGTTGTGCAGAGCTTTGTAAATAGAATAACCCTAGAACTGATCTTCGGAATCACAAAACATTTAGAAGGGAAATGAGCTATTAATAATCACTATGCCAGAATAACAGGCATGAACGGATCATCCTGGATAAACTAGAATTCATGGTGGATTTGAACTTTATCCTGAGAGCATATAGAGATTCATGGAAGGATTTTTAAGTAAAGAATTTGATAAGATTTGCATTTTAAAAATCATTATAGTCTGGTGTGGAGAATAAATTGGCGGGGAGCTATTGTAATAATTAGACCAAAAGGACGTGGTGACTTCAGCCAGAAGTGGAAGTGGATTTGAGAGAGGTTTAGAAAGTGAAGATTGGTCAATCAGATGGGGGCAAGGTCAGAGATTGGAGTTAAGGATTATATCTGGTTTATCTTATTTCAAAGCAGGTCATTACAATTCTCTGATGAAAAGAGGCAGGATCGTGGTGGGATATTGGTCATAAGGGCAAATTTAGACATGTTCAGTTGGAGAGACCTTTGAAATACTGAAATGGAGATACTCTAGTAGACATGAGTCAAGAGGTAGGAATTGGGGGAGGAAATTTGTGTATGTATGTGTCTTGTTTGTGTTTTTATTTTCCCATTCTTTAAACTGTATACTTGTGATAATTTGCAACCTCAGGGACTTCTAAATGTAATCTGAAACTGCCCCCACTTCCTTACCATCCCCTATACACACACACACGCATGCACGCACACAGAGGGCAGGTGGAGTCTGAAGAAAGAGGCAGACCATTCCAGATTGGTAGGTGACAGGTTTAATAAGCAAGGGAACTTACACACGTGACTTGTCTTGGGAAGCTGCAAGATGAGTAGATTTCCATTCCAGTCCCCTGGAATCTCAGAAGTTTGCATTGAAGCCTTGAGTGGGTTGAGCATGTATACGATCCAGATGGTCCCAACAACACCTTACTATCAAGGCTGTGTCCTTGGGCGGCTTCTAGCATGGGGAATACAAGCAGAACACACATCCCCAGGATGGGCGAGGGGACGAGGAGCCCCAGATTGCTTGGATCCAGCTCACAGGTCAGCTGGCAGTTATGTCCTCTCAGGTGCCTCCTCGAACAGCTTCTCATTGTTTCTAGGGTTTATGTTGAGGGAAAAAATACTTCATGTTTTCCAAAGACCTCAAAGAACAGTATATATAAAATGTTTTGTTTTCTTCTTTCTTGGCTAGGAAGTAATCCTGAACCAATGAGCAGTTGTAGGATAGGTTTAGTAAAACCCACTTACCAAGTGAATAAATGGTGAGATTATGGACGTTTGTTATATTTTATTCAGTGTACTTTTATACATTTTTGTCTTGAGTTTTTAAAAATGAACAGTGTTTTGCCATTTGTTTTTTAGGGACTCCTGCAGATGTAGTTTTCATTTGTTGAGCCTGTGCCAATTGGCTTTGAGAACATTTTATCTCATTTAATCCTCACAATAACCTCATGGGTAGGTGGCATTCTCATTTTACAGATATGGTTAAACTCAAAGAAGTTAAATAATTGTGCCACAGTTGACACAGTAAGTGGCAGAACAGTATTTGAACCCAACTTGGTCTAACTCTGATCTCCATGACCATAACCTTCAGACTTTATATTGTCTTCAGAGACTGCAGAAACAGACTCAAACTGCTTTCCAACCGTCGTCTTATTCCATTGGCAGCAATACAAACATGCACATGCTTGAGAGTAGAAGTGGAAACATATTACGTTGGTGTAATACTTTAAATTCAGATTCTTGGCACATGCAGTCATCAGTCCTCTCTGAGTAAGAGTTCAGACAGCAGCGCTCCATACAGTTGTGGCACAAGTGATTAAAGAGCCAGATGAAGCATCTCGGTGGTGTGCTGTCCCAGGACAGACTCCCGCCTCGGAGGACTTGAGCTCATGTTCCCCAGCTGCTACAGCCAGTAGTGTATAATGTTTAAGAGGTGTGGATGGTTCTGCTGGAGTGTGTTCTAATGTTTAAACTCTGTTTGCTTTGTAGCAGAGAACCTCGTGTCCTGGATCCTGGGCTGATGAAGTCCGAAATCTGTACTTCCTTGTCAGCAGGTAGAATTCGACATTTGTACGATGTGCAGTATTGAGCTATTTATGTATCTCTATTGAGGCCTAGTCAAAATGAATTCATTAAAATAGGAAGATTTTCATTTTAGAGTCTGTTAAGCATGTTTTACAGTTTGTCACTTTTCCTCAGTTTTAATTGCCTAGTTGTCAGATCAGATTTTGAGAAATTGTCTAGTTGGTTATTTAATAAATAAGTTGTTTACTAGTGTCTTTAGTTATACAGATAGTATATAAGATAGATAACTGGCCTTAGCAATTTTTGTAATCTTATTTTGAAATTGAAATATATACTTAAGCTTTACCATATTTTAAGTCTGAGTGCTTTTTAAAATTTTTATAATTAACAGCTAATCATAAGTTCAGGTAACTGAATCTTTACAGGAAATAACTTAATTTGAAAGTTAATCTTACTTCAACTATCAAGTTTTAAAAATATATTGGAAATAGCTGGACATGACCAAGAAAGAGTCTTAAATTTATCTTGATATGTCTCAATTTTGTCTTACTGCCAATTCTTTTTATACCATATAATGGAGTTACTTTGATAGAAAGGGAGGAATAAAGGTATAATTTGCTGAAAACTCTACTTCATATTTGTCACATTGGACTTTAAAAGAGTGTCTGAATTCTGACTCATTTTTAGAACAATCTTTAAATGACTTGATTATTTTGTCATTTAAAGTTTCTGCAGTTGAATATTATTTCTTTTCAGCAGATGAGCTAAAACATGATTCCAAAGATGTAGACATTTCCTTAGAAGAAGTTGCTAATGAGACCCCTGAAGATGAAAAACTGGGGGACTTCAGTGAACACACAAAAAGCTCAGATTTGGATGAAAAGGTACGAGGGAGTCTTTTGGGTTTTTTTTTTTATTCTTCTTGATCCAAGTAGTGGTAAGTATAGAAGTTTATGGTAACACTGCTGTCAGATGACAACTATAACTTCTTTTTATTGAGGAAAAGAATCACAGCACTCTGACCATGGGATATATTGCTGGCTGCTTTGCATTAGCATAGTGTTAAGAGTTTGACTTGTCTGAGAAAATGGGGTGTACTGTTTAATTATACATTTAGCTTTTAAGTATCCTGCAGTTCCTCTCAAACCTATGTAAATCTTTCTAAATTGTTAGGCATTTTCCTGCCTCATTAAACACATTTACTGAACATCATCTGATCTTAATTGAGATTTAGAATGTCATAGTACCTGAGTGCTGTGAATGCACGTGTCAGTTACGTGACCACAGTTGTAGGAGGCATAGGAATTGGAACTAAACCTAAGCCGATGTTGGAATGCACCACTGGTGTATGAGATGGGGAAAACTTGGGGTGTCAGTTATCTGCCAGATAATGTGTATTAACCTTTTGAAGAATTTGACTCCTAGGCAACTATTCCATACTTTCTTCTTTGTCCTTATTCCTCCTCATTCATCCTCACAGCTAACAGCCTAGGTTCCTACTTCATCAAGAAAATTGAAATAATTGGAAAAGAACTTCCTGAGTTCCTACCAGCACATTAGCCCACCCCTCTGCATCTGTCCCCAGAACTCCAGCTTCACTTCTGCAGTGGATGAACAGGCCAAGGCTGTTCTCTTCACCTGTGTGCTAGAACCCACCTCTTCTCTCTCAAAATACTACTCCAGTAATTCTTTCATTACTAGATCATTCTCTTCAACATAAGCATGCTTTTCTCCCAACTTCAGGTAAAAACAAACAAAAAAACCCTTTCATGGTCCCATTTTCCTTTTTGGCTGTCATCCTGTTTCTCCAAAGGCTTGTCTAAACCCACCAGCTCCAGTTTCTCTCCTCCAGTTTCAAAGATATTTGTCTTCACCTCCATCAAAACTACCCTTCTTAAACTCTCCAGTGACCTCCTTGTTGCTAAATCTAATGGCCATAGTTCAGTCTCAGTCTGACTCAATCTGTCACCAGTATTAACATCAAAACTGTTTTCACATGACTTCCAGGATAAACATATGTGCCTGGTTTTCTGTCTGTCTGCAACTTCCCAGTTGGATTTGCTGGCCTCTCCTGATGTCCCTGATCTCTACATGTTGGAGTGACCCAGGGCCAAGACTGTGCATCTATTCTTTTTTCCTGTCTAGAGTTGCTCCTTACATGGTCTCATCCAACCTCATTGCATTCAATGCCACCTATGTGCTAAGACTCTCAAGTTGGTATCTCGAGCTTGAACTTCTTCTCTGAACTGCAAACCTTTGTGACTGGTTGCCTACTTGATTTTTCCCCTTGGTTGTCCAACTAGGCATCTCACATTTAATATGGTCAAAACTGAACTGTTTTATACCCCCTTCCCTACCACAAACCAGCCCTTCCTGTAATTTCCCCCTTTTCTATTGATGGCAGCTCTATAAATTACTTAGGCTCAAAATCTTGGATTTCCTTACTTTCTTTTTCTCTCACTCCATATCCAGACTATAAGGAAATCCTGCAGGCTTTACCTTCAGATGATGTCTAGAAATTGTCCACTTTCCATCATTCCTGCCCACACCGCACAGTCTCAGCCTGATATAATCTCCTGCCTGAATTACTGCAGCAGCCTCCTAACAGATCTCCTGCTTCTAATATTGCCCGCTTGTAGTTTATTCTCAGCACAGCATAAATTAGGTCATGTCAGCCTTCTGCTTCAAACTCTCCAATGGGTTTTAATACTCTGATTCAAAGCCACAGTCCTTTCTGTGACCTGCATGGCCCTGTATCTATTCCCTTTACCCTTCCCCACCTTGTTACCTCTCTGACCTCTTCAACTCCTCTCGTTACCCATTTCGCTCTGACCGCATTAGCCTCCTTGCTGCTCTTGGAACACAGCAGGCCCTCTCCCGCTTTGGGGCCTTTGCCTTTGCCTTTGACATTTTATCTCCTAAAAAATGATACAGCTAACTTTCTTGTTTCTTTCACTTCTTTGCTCAAATTTCATCTTCTCGGGGAGATTTCCCCTGGCCAGCCAACCTAAAATTCCAGTGTTCTCCCTTCTCCCGACATTTCATATTTCCCTTTCTGGTACTTAACACAGTCTGACATTCTATATATATTTGCTTATTTATGTTTGTCTCCTCCTGCTAGAATTAAACTTTATGAAGGCAAGGATTTTTGTCCATTTTGCTTACAAATGAATCTTTAGCACCAAGAGCAGTGTGGCTGATACAGAGTAATAGCACAAGTGATTGCTGAATGGATATTGAATGTGAATTTGAAGGGAGTCCTGAAGTGCCAGAAGTGTCCTGTAGCATGAATAAGGATCTCAGTGGTTTGATGATAAGAGCCAGTATGTACTGAAGCTTTATTAAATGGCAGCCAGCCACTGCTGGAGACTTAGCACTTATCTGTAATATCTGGAAGTGCTGTTCAGGGGTTCCCAAGACCACCCTCAGTTTCCATAATTTGCTAGAAGAACTCACAGAGATTAGCAAAAGTGTTATACTCAAGGTTACAATTTATCACAGTGAAAGAAGACAGTTTAAAATCAGCAAAAGATAGAATCACATAGGACAGAGCACTGGAGAAATTGGGCGCAAGCTTCTGGTTGTTCTCTCCCAATAGAGTCATGTGGACACTGCTTGCTTCTCCCAGGAGTGACATATGGCAACACAGAATATTGCCAGCCAGTGGGGCTTGACTGAACCCTGGTCAGGGCTTCTATTGGCCACTTAGGCATGGCTGACCACCTGCATGACTGACCTTAATCAGTCAGTCTCCAGTCCCTCCAGAGGTTGACCTGTTACCATGTGGCTCAAGTTCCCCATCATAAATTACGTTGTTAGCATAGACACTCTGGAGAGGCTCAAGGCCCCTATCATAAATTACACTGTTAGTGTACACTATCTGGTGTGACCCCAGACCCCCAGGTTAACAAAGATACGCTTATCAGGCAGCATATTCCAAGGGCTTAGGAGTTACCTCTGAGGAGCAGGTCAAGGGGCAAGCCTTTACTGTACAGCGTATAGACAGCCCAGACTTACTAAATTAATTCTTAACTGCACATGAGGTGTGTACTGTTATTTCTCTTTACAGATGGTAAAACGGAGACTTAGACTCAGAATCTTGTCCATGGTCACACAACAGAGTTCCTTGACTCTGTAGCAGAGGTCAACAAACCTTTTCTTTAAAAGACTAGACAGTAAATACTCGTCTGGCTTTGTGGGCCATGTGGTTGCTGTCGCAGCCACTCAACTCTGCTATTGTAACAGGAAAGAAGCCATGATGGGATGTAAACAGTGTGAATTGCTGTGTTCAAATACATCTTTATTTACAAAAACAGGCAGCCTGCAAGCCATAGCTTGCCAACCCTTGCTCTAAAGCATTAAAAAAGTAAACAGTTTATGCTCTGTTCTTAAAGCTGAAGAGAGGACTTAATCCATTCAATTCTGCAAGGGCAGATTTTAGGAGACGTTTGCCAGAACACACTGAGTTTCTAACACTAAATATTTTAAGATGTAGACTGTTTTCAATATTAGCTCTTTTAAAAATAATCCACAAAATCATTTAGTGTCTGGTACTACTTCCTGGATTTGTTTAAGGGAAGGGGAATGATTCCTTTATCCTTCTGATCCCATGGTAAGCTTCAGAGTACCAACTCCAGAAAATACATGACCCTGACAGTGATACTTATCTTTATCTGTCCCCTAAATTTGGGAATCAACAAACTTTTATCCATCTCTCACCTAATGTTTTAGGAAATTTAGAGGGCAAATAGGTTGACTTACAGGAAGGACATAGCCTAGCCTGCCCCTTTTCTGCTTTTATGTATGGTTTTCTGTAAATTTTTAGAAATGTTTCCTTATTTGTCTTTTCCAAAGACCTTGTTTTTTCTTTCTCTTGTATATCAGTTATACCCAGAATCCACGTATAACAATTTTTAGGTTTGCCATGGTAGTAATTGCTTAATGATTCTAGTTTTCAGCCCCAGATGGTTAAAATGCTAGTATACTTTTTAATATTTGTTTTGAAACAATTACAAATTCACAGGAAGTTGCAAAAGTACTTTCCCCCCATGATTACATCTTAAAGCACAATATCAGAAGCAGAAATTTGATATTAGTACAGTGAGTGAGTGTAGTTCTGTGTATTTTATCAAGTGCAGATTTTTGTAGCCACTGTTGCCATCAAGATAATTATTCTGTCACTACAGAGATATTCTTTATGCTGCCCCTTAGTCTCACCTCCCTCCCTACCCCAACAGCCATAACCTTAGCAACCGTTAATATGTTTTCCGTGTCTATAATTTTGCTATTTTGAAATAAGTGCCTAGGTCTGCCATTGCTGGGCTAACTGGTAATTGCATGCTTAGGTTTTAACTTGGGTGGACTCAGCCTCCAGCTTACTACCCTGTGGTAGCAGGCAGTAGAAATGTTTACTGTGTTATTTTAGTGTTAGCTGAGTTGTTTGGAGTCTGCCTTACAAAGGTGTAGTTCAAGGGTCAGTTTTAGAGACTTGGACCAAGTTGAAAGCAGTTTTGGGGGCTTCCTGCCTTAGACTCTTTCCTTTCCAGGATTCCCAACCTCACTTCCCAGTTTCTGACTTTGCTCTAAATTTTGTCTTCTGGTTCTTCGTGTCAGTGGGGCAAATATTTGGCCTTCCCAAGTGGTTCCAACTAAGGCCTGCCTTCAGGAATAAAGCCAGATAAACAGGACTGTTACCCCGTGTCATCCTCTCTTTCCAAGTGTAGACTTCCCTTCTGATTCTGCCTCCTTTTCATATCTCTCCAATGTTTTCAGACAGATTTTTTTTATATTTTATCTCAGGTTTATAGTTGTTACTGCAGAAAGATTAGTCCAATAAGATATACTTATTTGCCATTTCTCAAAGTGGACCTACTATGTATTTTTAATTTTATAGAAATGATAGCATATCATTTTTTATCTTTTTTTAATTTAATAGATAATAGAGAATGTTTCCTTTCCATGTATGTAATGATGTTTGGCTTTTTATAATTATGTAGTCATCTGTTGTATGGCTGTACTCTATTCAACAAGTTCCACTATTGATGGACAATTGGTTTGTTCCCATTTTTTGCTATTTTAATATTGTTGCATTATGCATCCTTGAGCATAAGGCATTTTGCAAATGTGCAAGCATTTTTGGATTAATTCTTAGAAGTAGAATTTTCAGATTGTCCTACATAGAGATTGCTTTGATTTATATTCCCAACAACATCGTATGAAAATGACACTTCTCTCCCCCACACACTCACAACTCAGTATTAGAATTTTTTAATTTTTGTCCATCTGTACATTTTTACAAATGACTTTTAATTTTAATTTGCTTTTGTTTTATGAGTCTAGTTAAGCATCTTTTAACTTGTGTAAAAGTCATTTACATTTTCTTCTGTGAACTTTTTTATGTCCTTTGGCCATTTTTCTTCTAGGATTTTTTTTTTAATTTGTAAGAACTTTTTGCATATTAAACATATTTGTTCTTTGTTTTATGTTGCCATACTTTTTCCTGTTTTTCATTTATGTTTGACTTGGTTTAGGAACTTTTTATTGTGAAGGAGCTTTTTATTTTTATTTAGTCAAATGTATCAGTTTTATTATTATGATTTTTGAGTTATGAGTCATATTTAGAAAAACCTTCCCCATTTTAGGATTTAAAAATTTCACCCATATCTTTTTGGTCTTATTTATTATGTTTAAATTTTTAGCAGTATAAATCTAGATTTTATCTTGGGAGAAAGAATGTAGAAGCAATATAACCTTTCTGTTTTGACAGATGGCTTTTGTGTACTTTGTATTCTCTTAGTATATGGAAATGTTTTAAATGTTTGTATTCAAACCTATTGGGGGGGAGGGTGTAACTCAGTGGTAGAGTGCATGCTTAGCATGTATGTGGTCCCAGGTTCGATCCCCGGTACCTCCATTAAAAATAAAATAAAATAAATGAACCTAATTACCTCACCCCAAAAAACAAACAAAATCAAAAATGTACAGGGGAAAAAAAAATTCTTTAAACGTGTTGATATCATAACTCGCAGTTTCTGCCTTTGGTGTCAAGTATAGGCTTTCTCCACCCTCCAGATTATATAAATACTCATCTCTATTTTATTTTTGACCAGTATTTCTTACATTTAAATGTTTAATGAGCCTAAAGTTGTTCGTAATATGGTAAATTGGTACCGAGCTTATTTTCTATTCAATCAACTAGCCTGTTGTTCTGCTACTATTTATTGCATCATTTCCTCACAAATTTCAAATGCCATTTCTGATATTTTCCATTTTTAAGTATGGAGTGATTCCTTTTCTTCTCTTTTGTTTCATTAATTGCTCATGGCCTGTGCCAATTACATACTGTCAATTATTTTTAAAATAAAAACAAGGCTTACTTTAAAAGATATTAAGATGTATTATAAATTAAAATATTTTTGGTTATTCTTAAAGTCTTCTAAGAGAGCTTTAAATTCACACCGTAAGGTAGTTTTTAAAATCTACAAATTAATTTGGGGGGAGTTAACTCTTTTACCTTTTAATATTCTCATCCGAGAACATGATATATCTTTCTATTTGTTAATGTTTTGTGTTTCTCAGTTGATTTTTGTAGTGTTCTTCCTAAACTTGTGATGGTATGTATAGTATATACCATTATTGTGAAATATGATTATGTACTTTAAAAAAGATTAGAAAGGTATAAAGTAAGATATAAGTGGGTATCTCTAGCTGCCCAGATGATGGGTGATTTAGGGTAGGGGTTTGTTTTCTTGGTGCCTGTTTTTTCAAAAGTCTAGTATTGAACTTGTATGACTTTCTTATAATTAGAAAATCACAATTCCCAAAACACCAATTGTATTTTAATACAATGATATTTTAAATACATAAAAACATTTCTAATGAGAAATATATTTATGTTCATAAATATCACCTAAAAATAAAAGTCACTCAAAGCTTTTTTTCTGAATGAAAAGAAATATAACTTTAATTGTCTATAATAATTTGAAATGGTAGCTTGCATAATTAAGGATGATATCAAAAGCTGGGAAAATATATTTATTTGTATTAATTTTTCTCAACAGTGGAAATTTTTAAATCAGTATTGACTATTTTAAATGATGTAGAGTTGAATTGTTTTCTGGGTTGGCCATAAGCTAATTGTTGAATTAACGTCTAATACATTCTGATCTGATAAGCCTCATAGCCTAATAATGAATGCAAAGATACTCACTTATACTTTTTAACTGTAATCTCTTCACAGTGTAGATTTTCAGACAAGATGACCATTCAAGATGAAAAAGAAAATACTTACGAAGTTTGCAAAAGGTCTGTAATGTAATTTTTAATTATATGATGTTAAAAGAGTCATTCATGTAATGTATATCTTGAGGCATATTTTTCATTCTCTGCTGTATATGCTTGGACTACTATGCCATAAACAGTACATGGATATTATTTAACTAATGTGTCAGGTGTATCCAGATGTCAGGGATATTGTAAGTTACCTTAAAGTTGTCACTAATTAGGTATTTTGAGCCATTAAAATATTTTTTGAGAAAGGAATAGTGATAAAAGAAGAGAGATGTGTATGTGACTTTTCTGAAGGTAAGAATAGCTGAAATTAAATGAACAGTGCAGTTTGCAGGTATCTTCCATGTCTACAGTGATTAGTACTGGCAGTTACAATGCACTCACTAGAACGTATATACATACGAAATTTAGATTCAGAGGATAACTTGGAGATCATTTGATCCATTCTGTACCCCAGTTTTGCTGTTGAAGCAAGGCACAGTCAAGTCAGGTGACAAATACATGTAAGTCCCCTTATGCTAAGACAGTGTTTTTCAAAGTGTGATCCTTGGAGTACCAGCATCATGTGGGAACTTGTCAGAAATTATTTGGTCCCACCCCTGACCTACTGAATCAGAAACTCTGCAAATGGGGTCCATCAGTCTGTGTTTCACCAAAGTCACTAGCTAATCCTGCTACCTGCTCATTATGTTACATAGCATTATGTTAAGGAGAAGCCTAGGTAAGAATTAGATTGGCATAGAAGCTCAGTAGGATTCATGACCATTTGGAGATCTTAAAGAAAAAGCGAAGGTAGTAAGGTTAACTTTTTCTTTTCCTATCAAAAATATTTTGCTTACAGACAAAATAGTTGGAGCCTGCAGAGTTTTGACATCACCTTGTCTCTGCCATAATGACATTGGACTGTGACGTGGGGCAAGTCACTCCATCACCCCAGGTTTCATCTTCCAGTCAAAAATTTTAAATTCCATCAATGCTAAGTTTCAGCTGTTAAAAGCATTGGCTCCTCTTACTATTTTTACTTTCCCCTGGCCCAAGGAACCCCAGCTGAAAAATCTTATTAAAATTGTTTTTAAGATAAAATATTTTAGTATCTGAATGAAGGTACAAGTCCTTCTCCAACAAAGTAAATTCATTTATATCTATTAGCTTCGTGGTACTTTTCACCTTCCCTCTTGCTTAAGTTACTTATTTTCTAGGTAAGTGACATCCAGATTAATTGGTTATGTAGGATCTCACGTATTAGAATATAGTCAAAGCTGTTTAAATGAACATTCTAGAACAGTACGTTTCTTATACCTTGTTCCCAAAGGAAGATCTTAAGTACATGTATACACTTAATATATATACTTGTCACTTATTTATTTTGTTGCACTGTTAATAGAATTGTTGGATGATCTTTTCTGGATTCAGACACTAGTCCAGTTCCTTCTCAGACCCTTTGTCTGGCATGATCAAAAACACTTTGCTCTAATTTTAACCCCACCACCCTACTCTTACCCCTACCCCAGCCATTTAATAAGCACTGGTTTTCTAGTTAAGAAGGCAGGAACAACCTATTGAAAACATTAAAGAATCACAGTATATGACTGTAGTATGCAGCACAGTGTGTGGAACATACATGTCATTAGGTTGCACTTCTGCTTATTTGATTCTCATTACTTTAACATTTTTAGAATAAATTCTGATTTTGTTTGTTTTTTGCTCACACAGTGGTGATTCTAAAAATATTGAGATTATGGTTGATGAATGTCACTTAGCAGCACTGGGCCCCAAACCTCTGTACTTTTCAGTGCCAGTGCCGCCTTTGACTCTAAGTGCTCATCAAGAAGACACACTGCTGAAGCCCTGGATTAATGGTACAGTTTTCTTAATACAATGCTATTGGCTTTTGAAAATACAGAAATGATACAGGAAATTTTTCCACCAAAAACAAAAAGTTAAGAAAAAAGTTGAAACAAATGTAGGATATGTTAAGATTAGAAGATTTGTGTACCTTTGTTTAGTACTTTTGATAGAACAACTTCTGAGATACCTATATTTATGTGATAGTGGTAGTACAGGTAAGTTTATACCTAAAATATTCATATTTATTTGAGTGTTTTAGAAATTTAGAGTATACTTTAGAATTTGTGTGAGGTTTTTTTGATAATTCATAATGCTATGAACAAAATAAGCTAGATTGAAGAATAAATTTAAAAACAATAAAGTTCGCTTGTGTGGCTCACACCTAGCTCTTCTGTGCCTCACATTACTGACCTCATGCCACCTTGTGTTGTGTCCTGTAGCACCCAGCCCATGAGAATCACATGTTTTGTCTTAAAAAGCTTTACAGCTTTCATAATGAAAAGTACCACGCAGCTATGCAGCAGAAACTTCAGTTTGTCCCAAATTATATCTGATGCTGCCAAAGTAAAAAATGAAATAATTTAAGATAAAAAAGCGTTTTCATTTGTCTTATCTTTAGGAAAAATAAATTTTAAATATCCTAACTCATTTTAAAAGATCAACATTGAAGGATAATGATGCCTGGTGTAGCAGTCTCCCTGGGCTGCTGTAACAAAACACCACAGACTGGGTAGTTTAAACAGCAGATAGTCATTTCATACAGTTCTGAAGGTTAGAATTCCAAGATAAAGGTTCTGGTAGGTTCAGTTTCTGGCTCAGTCCTGGCTTTCAGATGACAGCCTTCTCACTAAGTCTTCACATGGCCTTTCCTTGGTGCCCGCACGTGGAGAGAAAGAAAGCTCTCCGGTATCACTTATAAGGACACTAATTCTATCAGATCAAGGCCTCATTTTTATAACTCCTTTTTTTACTTCCATAAAAGGCCCTAACTCCAAATACAGTCACATTGGGGGTTAAGGCTTCAACATCTGAATTTTGGGGGGGACACAGTTTAGTCCGTAGCACCTGGGTTTGTCAGTAGTTCTTTTTTCCTAAGAAAGGTTTATTGTGTGCAATATTTGTCTGTTTAACTTAGAGACAATCATTTGAATACAGTCCTCACTGCTGCCATGTAAGGCTTTTGAGAAAGTGTCTTCCAGGGGAGGGTATAGCTCAAGTGGTAGAGCACATGCTTAGCATGCGTGAGGTCCTGGGTTCAATCCCCAGTATCTCCATTAAAAACTAACTAAATAAATAAACCTACCTACCTCCTCCACTAAAAAATTAAAAAAATAAAATAAACCACAGACTCTCAAGTCCGATCAAAAAAAAAAAAGAAAAGAAAACGGAAGTATTATTAGCTTATAATGAATTTAAAATGTTAAATTCAGATCTAGATACTTTAAAGAACACCTGAGATGTAAGTTATCCTGTGTTTCACAGGTACACACCGTGGTAGCAGTCTGTGAATTGAGCATGAGTAGTCCAAAGTGAAACTTTAAAGCAGATAGTAGTGGTCATCTGTTTCATAGTTATGAAAGGAGTAAGTTGTAACATATTGGAGGGTAATGGCATTATTAATGATTTCTAGATTTCAGATTTCCGGGAAAACGTCCTCTCCTAAAGCTGCAGAACCCTGAAATTTGTGACATATTTAACAGGGGAAAACATGTATGGGTAAGTGCCCCATTAAAAAAAAAACACCTTATGAAGCACATACTTTGGGGCTTTCTGGTTGTATTTCCCTATCATTTTTAAGCAGTTCTGGACATTTTACAGATTTTTAAATTGGCGTTGGTGGAAAGGGGAAGAAAATGAGTAGCATTTCAGAGGATATTCACAAACAATATAAGAGGTTTAAGGCAGAAGGGTAGAGATTGGGATATTCAAAGCAAAATACAAGATGAATAGTTCCCTGTAATGAAGGAGGAAAGCTAGCGATGTAAAGCAGTTGATGGGAAAAACTCGCCGTAAAAAGCTTTCACTCATTTGCCTTTTTTTTTTTTCTAAGTATGGTTGATTTACAGTATTGTGTTAGTTTCTGGTGTACAGTATAGTGGTTCAGTCATAAATATATGTACGTAATTCTTTTTCATTATAGGTTATTAGAAGATATTGAATATAGTTCCCTGTGCTATACCATAGGAACTTGTTTGTCTTGCCTTTTTCTGTTAATCAGAAAAGCTAAGGAAATTTTGGTTCTAGTAAATGCATCTGAAATATGCATATTATAATAGAATTAACTTTTTATAAAAGTAGAGGGCAGGTACATGAGAAGGAGGAGGGAATGTATAAACTTCAAAACATGTAAAGTAAAGCTAGTAACTTTGGTGAAACACAAGTTTTACACTAAAGAAAATTGCAAAAATTCAGACAGATAGCTTTAAAGTGTGTTCTTTTCATTATTTTTAAAAATACAACTTGACTGGAATTTTTATTTTATCAAGTTGGCAAGCAATTTATCATGATACCGTTTTAGGTATATAATACTTCTGGTTGCTTCAGATACTTTCTCACTTGATCATAGTTAAGTGTTTTACAATTAACACAGAAGGAAAATTTGTCTGTTTTTCTAGGTGTTCCAGAAGCCCCTAGGGTTGATGATACCCCATAGATACTGCAAGTTTCATTTTAATACATTATGTGGCTGTAAGCGATTACAATGCAAGTTTGCTCACGTGCCTGAGCAAAGGGATGAAAAGGTAAAGTATGTTAAGTCATTGAAGTAGAGATTGTCTTAATAACCATCTCAGTCATACGTTTTAATTCAGATTTTCATCAGCTCCTAATCGATGAGCTTTGCCTGGTTTTGTGTTTTATATAAATGGAATTATACAATCTGTATTCTTTTGTCTCTGGCTTCTTTTGCTCAGTATTTTTGAAATTCATCTGTATTTTTTACCTAATTGTAGACATTTCTTTCTCATTGCTGTATAATATTGAATGTTCTTTTGTGAGTATATCAAAATTTATTTTGTTGATAAATACTGCTTTTGGTGGGTGGTTTCTAAATTTGGTAAATTCAGTAGTGGTGCCATTGGTGCTTTGCATGTCTTTTGGTGAGCATATGTACACATTCTGATGGGTTATACTTAAAACTACAATCACTAGATCAAAGAGTCTGCATATATTCAACTTTAGTACATACTGACAGACAGATTTCCAAAGTGGTTTACCAACTTACACTCTCCAGCAATGTCTGAGAGTTCTGGTTGCTTCACATCCTCACCAGCTCTTGATATTATCAGCCTTTTAATGTAAGTCATTCTGGTGGGTGGGGAGTGATCCTTCCCTGATGGTTGATGAAGCTGAGCATCTTTCAAAATGTTTATTGGGTTTTTGAATATCCCCTTTTTGTAAATATCTAAATATTTTGCCTATATTCTGTAGGATTGTCTTTTTCTTATCCATCTTAATAGTTCTTTATATATTCTGGATACAAACTTGTTGGAGATATAGATATAGATAGATTTTTTTGCACCTCCCTTCCTCAGTTGCTTGCTAATCTTAACTGTTTCCTGGACTACTTCTTTGACAGAGCTTCTCTAAATAAGGTTTTTGTAATGAATTCAGTATGCATTTCAAATCTTAGGTAACCTAACATCATCCTCTTTATTCCATTGTTTTAAATTCACTTTGAAAAATTGGAATAAGCATAAATACAGGACTGAAATTTGTATAGTTTCTGTGGAATATAAAAAGGTAATTTCATATTTTCCATGACTTTTACAGGTTTGCATGGATGTTTTTAAGAAATATATTAGAATCGATGAGCTGTGTTTGCTACAACGTGCAGGTATGAGACATTGGAATGATTACTATGAATTCATTAATGTGAGTGTTTCAAATAATGTGCTATATTGTCTTACAGTTTGAAAGTAAATTCAGTACATTTAAGTATGAAAACTGAATGACTTAGAGTGACTCTCTTGGTTAATGTGAGTGTTTCAAATAATGTGTTCTGTTGTCTTAGAGTTTGAAAGTAAATTCAGTACATTTAAGTGTGAAAACTGAATGCTTCAGAGTGGCTCTCTTGGTCTTCAGATTAATAGTAAGTTTGGCATTTTGGTTAGTAAAAAATTATAATCCACATAGCATTATAATTCCCTTATATACTAATATTTTCATGGTATAGAAATTTTATTTACAGAAAAGAAGATATTGTTAATTAGCTTAAAATCTTTCTGAAGGGATCTTTCAGAAACTGGATCTTCCCTACTTCTTTTCTCCATCCTTCTCTTTTTGCACTTATCCCTTATAGCCGATGCACCATCCATCATTCTGTGCAGTTCCCTAAACAGGCCAGGCTGCCTCTCTCTACCCAAGATGCCTTTCTTTCATCCCCTTTGCCCAAAGCAAAGACCTGTTCATCTTTCAAAGCTTAGTCATGGGAAATAGTATTACCTCCTCTATTAGGCCCTTATATGACTCCATAGCCTCATCCCATTCTCTGCTCCCATCTCCCCCTACTGTATGATGAGCCCCAAGATGAAGGGACCAAGCTTTATATTTGTCACCCAGACACAGCCACCAAAGCCACATAATACAGTAATAGAACACTTTAGCTTCATATTCATCTGCTTAAAATCTCATTTGGCTGAAAACAAAATCCCTGACGAGTTTGTTTTGCTGGTGATACTATGTCCCCAAGGATTAGAGGAAGTGTCTGAGGAAGCTGGTGATCTGGACCTAATCCAGCTGTAACAAGGAGGAAGTAGTTGAGATGTAAGTAATAAGAGCCTGTATACGGAATATATCTGTCACCTGAGGGGTTGTGATAGTCAAGCAAAAGAAGCTGCACATGGTTAGATGTGGATGAACATTTATATTCCAGAAGTAATTCCATAACATGAGATGTGGAAGAAAAGAAGGTGACATGGAAAAAATGCAAAAACTCCCAAAAATAGAATTCTGATTATATAAATATCCAATATGAGAATAGGAAAAATATATGTGAATTTAGTTTTAAAACAGCAAATACAGAAAACAAAAACCCATAGTGAAAAATAAATGCAGGAAGTTAGCAAGAATCTGTGTGAATTATGTTTGATGTGAAAATAGAAACTTAGATTAGTGGAACAGATAGATAGCTCAGAATAAACTCGACATTATATAAAAAGATGTTTAGTGTTTAGAAGGACCATAGGGTTTGGGAAGGAAGGCTCATTTTATGAATGATGTTAGGGTAACTGGATAGCAACTTAGAAGGAGACTCTCAATACTACTGGTATAAGGTGTAGTTACAGAGAGCCCTCAGGAAACACCTGGTTCACAAGGGGAGGTACTGAATGGGTGGGAATCCCCATTCCTCTCTGTATCCATGGGATCATTTTTGTCTGTTTATATTTGAATTTCCACATAAAATTCTTTTTCCAGAAGTTTTATGACTAAAAACATTTGAAAAACTACTATTGCTTAGAATACTTCAAAATGAATCAATATAATATATTGGTAATTCAGTAGGAAGAGTTAAAATTTTCTATCAGATTTTTTGGAAAGTTGATCATTTCTGTAGTTGAAAGTAACCAAGGGAAGCACAAAAGATAGAGCTTTGATCATATAAATTTAAATTTAAAAAAGCTGTTAGCTTCAAATATTTTAAATTTACCATTGGTGATATACACAACATATTCTAATTTTTAATAAGAAGAGTCCAGTTAGCTCTTTACAGAGGCATGAGCATTACTTCCTCTTACGAGAATCAGAAAGAGATCTGGAGAGGAAAATCCGGTGTTACTGGTTCACCAGAATTGTGTACTGCTAATCAAATGAGAGAGTCGTTCTTATAAGTTAATTGAAGTGGCATTATGAATTGACAAAGCTTTTTAGAAAAGCACTGTAGGAAGACAGCAGAGTAGGTAGTCCCAAGAATCTGTCTCCCCATCTAGACAACAGTTGGACTGGCAAAATCTGTCTGATATAATTTGGAACTCTGGAGTCTGTTGAAGGCTTACAACTTCTGGGGGAAAGCTTGAACGGTAGGTTGTTAATTTCAGTCAATTTCTACTCTTAGCATGGCAGCAGCTACCCATCCCTTAGCCCCAGCCACGTGACAGGCAATTATGCCTCACTTCAGTTGATATTCAAAAAGCATTTGAGAAAATTCAACACCCTTTCATGATAAACAGACACACACACACAAAAATAACCAGGAAGAAAAGGAAACTACCTCGACATTTAAGAAGCCATATGCGAAGAGCCTACACAAACACCATAGTTAATGGCAAAAGACTAGATAGAAGCTTTTCCTCTAAGATCAGGAACAAGGCAAGGATGCCTGTTTTTACCACTTCTATTCAACATAGAAATGGAAGTTCTAGTGTGAGTAATTTAAAAAAGCAAAGAAATAAAACACATCCATTTTGGAAAGGAAGAATACATTATCTGTTTGCAGATGATATGACCTTGTATGTAGAAAATCCTAAAGATTCTGAAAAAAAAAACCTGTTGGAGTTAGTAAATGAATTAAAGCAAAATAACAGAATACAAAGTCAGCACGTGAAAATCAGTTGCATTTCTATACACTGAAAATGAACACTCTGAAAGGGAAATTACAAAAACAATTCCACTTATAATAGCATCAGAAAGAATGAAATACTTAGGAATTAACTTAACCAAGGAGATGAAAAACTTGTACAATGAAACCTACAAAACATTGGTGAAAGAAGACATAAATTAATGGAAACACATACCATTTTTACAGGTTGGAAGACTTAATATTGTTAAAATGTCATTATTTCCCAAAGTGGTCTGCAGATTCAATGCAATCCCTATTAAAAGCCCAGTAACCCAGTAGAAGTGAAAAACCCATCCTAAAACTCACGTGGTATCTCAAGGAATCCTGAAAAAATCTCGAAGAAGAACAAAACTGGAGAACTCATACTTCCTGACATGAAGACTTATTACAAAGCTACAGGAATCAAAACAGTGTGGTACTGGTATAAAGACAGACATATAAACCAATGGAATAGAATAGAGAGCCTAGATGTAAACCCTCACATATATGGTCAGATGATTTTTGACAAGGATGCCAAGACCATTCAATGGGGAAAGAATAGTTCTTTTTCAACAAAGGGTACTGAAAAAAACTGGATATCCACATGCAAAAGAATAAAATTGGACCCTTATCTAACACTACTTACAAAAATTAATTCAAGATGGATTGAAGACCTTAATGTAAGACCTACAACAATAAAACTCTGAGAAGAAAACATAAGGACAAAAATCACAACATTGGATTTGGCAGTGATTTATTGGGTATGACACCCAAGACGGGGGCAACAAAAGAAAAAAGTAGACAAATTGAACTTCATGGAAATTTAAAAATTTTGTACATTAAGAGGCAAAATCAGCAAGGTAAAACAGCAGCCCATAGTATGGGAGAAAATATTTATAAATCATTTATCTGGTAAGCAATTAATATCCAGAATATATAGAGAACCCCTAAAGCTCAACAGTAAAAAAAAAAAAACCCACCAGATTCAAAAATAGGCATTTCTCCAAAAATATACACAGTTGCCTGATAAACATATAAAAAGACACTCAATATCACCAATCATTATGGAAATGCAGATCAAAACTACCACTCACATCCGTTAGGATGACTACTATCAAAAAAACAAAAACCAACAAGTGTTAGTGAGGATGTGGAGAAATTGAAACCTTTGTACACTGTGGACAGGAATGGTAAATAATACAGACACTGTGGAAAAACAGTATGACAATTCCTCAAAAAATTAAAAATAGAACTACTGTTTAATCCAGCAGTTCTCCTGAGTATATAGTTAAAAGAATTGGCAGCAGGATCTCAAAAGATACTTGAGCAGCCTTGTGCTAATATTTATAGCAACTTTAGTCACGGTAGCTAAAATATGAAGCAATCTAAGTGTCCATCGAGAAACTGCTTTTGTGAAGGAAATTAATCAGTGTTATAATTTGTAGTAGAATGTTCATAATCATAAACTAGAATAAAAAATATCCCCGGGTCAATTTGTTGATGGAGTTAAAACAGCAGGAAGGGATATGTGTCAAAATAGTCTGCAGCCATCCCCAAACAGGCCATTGCCTGAAGTCCCTGGGAGTGTGGCTCCCCAGGAGTTTGTATTGAGACCATGATGTATGAGGCAATTTGGTCCCAATTTTTGTGGATAGCACATGAGTTAGCTCCCAGTCAAGTGCCTAACAAGCCTGGTTGATATGTTATTGCCACTAACTCTGGCTTTAATTTATTTCTGTCAAGTATTTCTGATACTGGAAGTATACCTTTTAAGAAATTGAATTTATAGTATTCAATCTTTAAATGTAGAAAAATTGCTTAATTTAGGAAAGATGAATATCTTAAAAGCAGCAAATGATCTTAAAATATATTTCTTCATTTTCAGTAAACATGTTTATGGAGTACTACAGAAAGTTTCCTCCGGGTATACACTTTGACTTACAAGTGCTAAATGACCTTCTGAATTCTTTACTCAAACATTATTTATTGAAAGAAATATTTCAGGTAGTGGACCTCAGCATAATGGTTAAAATGCTGGTAAGTAACCTGAAAATGTATTTTTTTTAATATTTTAAGTTAATTTCCCTGTTATATTTGTTTCTATAATTTAGCAGTTAAATTTCTGTGTTTGTTGAATATTTCCTAGAGAACACTTGTGTTTTTCAGCATAAACAAATTTGAGAAACTTAAGTGTACTGAAAGAAGACATGAAAATGAGTGTAATTTTTTTGTTTTATCCAGCCTGCTCTGAAAATATTACTAAAAATATTTGAGCTTGTGGCAACTACGAAATTAAGGAATGCTGTATCTGCTTTAATTGATATGTTTTGCAAGGTATGATTTTATTTTATCCCTTTTATTCTCTGATAGTGAATAACCAAGAAAATAATTATTTCTGCTTATACTCTTAAGTTGCCATTTATTCACGTTCTTTATGCCAAGGAATTCTATTTTCAGAAATGTTCTTTTTCCCCTGAAATAGGGTTTATAAACAGACTCCAGTGACTTACAGGTCTTCATCTTAATTAAATAGTTCTAAGCATGCCAGGTGACTTCTTTCAGATTAATGAACTATCCTCATCTCTACTACTTAAGGATAATTAAAATTTTCTTTTTCAAAAAGATTTGAAGTCATTTATAACAAAAATAAATACACAAATCACTGTATAAAAAGAAAATCATTACCAAAGTGGATTGATAAAAAATATGGTGGCGAGGAGTTAATTTTATATTTGGCATTAAACAAAACGAAAAACAAGGATTTTGCTGGCATTTTAAAAGTATATTAAAATTTTTAGTTCTGTTGAATATTTTCTAGTATTTGGTACTACCCAGCCATTCATCTCAGAGTAGCCTAATAGTGAGAAAACGTCCCACTTCCTGCCCTTTTTCCTTAGGGAGCAACATTGGAACCACTCCAGCAGTTGAACAAATATTTCAGTGAATACCTTTAGTTCCACATTACAAAACTTGACAAAATTACTTTCCTGAAAGTGTTTCAAATCAGAAATTACTCAGACTTCCCAGTTACATAATAACTGAGACACAGGGATGAAATGTACAGCATGGAAATACAATGAAGAATAACGTGGTATCTTTGTATGGTGCCAGACGATAACTGGACTCATCATGGTGATCGTTTTGTAATGTATGGAAATACCAAATGTCATGCACCAGGAACCAACATAGTGTTGTAGGTCAATTATACTTCAGAAAACAAACCCAGAAAAAGAGATCTTGTTTGTGGTTACCAGAGACAGGAGGGTGGGGAGTGGGAATTGGATGAAGGTGGTCAAAAGGTACAAACTTCCAGTTATAAGAGAAATAGGTGCTAGGGATGTAATGTACAACACGATAAATGTAATTAACACTACTGTATGTTATATGTGAAAGGTGTTAAAAGAGTAAATTCTAAGAGTTTTCATCACAAGGGAAAATATTCTTTTCTTTTTCTTTTATTTGTATCTATATGAGATGATGGCTTTTTACTAAAGTTATTATAATCTTTTTGTGATGTGTGTAAGTCAAATCATTATGCTATGCACCTTAAACTTTTACAGTGCTGTATGTCAGTTATATCTCAATAAAACTGGTAGATAGATAAATTAAATTTTTTTTAAGTTGTTACTAATCACCTATATTAGTTGTAAAACCTCAATTTGATACTTCTCAGAAATTTTACCATCAGGAATATGGTATAAGTGCTATACTTACTAAAAGACAGAATGAGTACCCAACAAAAGGAGATACTACTGATAAGGTGGTTGAGATACTTTGGAGAAAGGAAGAATATTCAAGTTTGAATTCAAAAGTATTATTTTCATTTTTGCTTTAAATTCTTGAAATAAGGTATCTTACTGTGGTTCTCAAATATTTGAAGAAAAATAACACTTAAGATTTTTTGAAATGAATTTTAATTCTATTTGTCTTCATGTTTCACTTCTTCCATCAGTCTTAGTTTTTTCACACATATTGGTTTCAATGCTTTCATGCTTTTCCAAGAATGACTACTTTTTTCTCTGTTGTACAGCTTGTTGAAGCTGGGATGGTACTTGACCCAGAAGACTTCAGCTATATCATTAAGTGTTTACACCAAGTACAGGCTTCCAAGCAAGAAATAAATGTAGTTCTGGAAATGAAATCCAGGTAAGAAAAATCATTATAATTAAGGCTAAAATATATGTGTTTTGGTGAGGACTTAAAAAGGATGAAGACAAAGCACTTATGTTACATCTAGATATTTGCCCACCCTAACCCTTCTCCCTCCCTTGGCTGTGGCCTGGCCGCACTGTCATCAGCTGCCTCTAGCCAACCCTTCTGTCCTGCCTCACCAAATCTTTTTTCAGTGCCTGATTTCATCTCAGTGCCTGGCAGATCAAATGTAAAAGAAGTTTCTCTTGCTGTTTCACAGCTTACATAATTCTACTTAATGCACTCTCTTGTATGTATACAGATTACCTTAATCCTTCTTTCTGTTTCATTCACGTCTTGTCATGTTAGCTGAATACACTATTTTAATGCCCCTCCTTCATTCTTTCTCTCACTTGTTCACCTTTAAAAAAAATACTGAGTTATAAGAGTAGTATCATAGTATACCTGCATTGAGAAAAAGAAAAGCCATAAAATGAATTTTATAAAAAAATTTATTAAATTGTCACATACATAGAGAAAAGTATACTAATTTTAAATATTTAGATGAACCATGACTTTTTTTTCCCATTTTTAAAACCTTTTTATTGAAACATAACACAGACTTGAAAAGTACACAAACCTAACATGTACAGCTCAATGAATTTTCTTTTTTCAGGAAATTGAATATAGTTCTCTGTGCTATACAGTAGAACCATAACTTTTTAATGAAATCAAATTTGATAAAGTGCAAATGGTAGCAGCCACCAAAGTCCTTGAGAATGCCCCGAAAGTTCCTTCACAGGAGCTCCCACGGTTGTTTTTATCTCATTTCTCATTATCTTCTAATACAGAGGTTTCCAAACTTTCTTGGTTCACAGTGTCCAGAGGCCAAAAGGAACCCATTAACAGTATCATTTATTAAATAGTTAGATCCAAACAAGTTAATAGTAGTTTGACAGTGTCTGTCTGATGTCGCTTGAAAATATGAAATAACCTGAGGAGCCCCTGTGAGTTTGCGCTAGTGCCCTGAGCGCCATGTGCAGCTAGGGACCTGCAGCTCTGCGTGCTGCCGCTTTCCTTCCAGCCGCAGCGTTGAAGACACGGTTGAGTTCAAGTTCTATGATTCCTTTAACTAGTGATAATTAATAATCTTTATTTTGCCTATTAATTATGACAGTTTTATCTAATTTGGCTTAAATATTGTGACAATTATGTCCAAAATTATGACGATTTATTTGACATTCCCTGATTTTGGAAATTGTATCCTCATACACTCTGCCTATTCCTATGTGCCTGTTTTAAAGCAATTATCTAGTATTTTTTAGGAGGTATTAACATTGGTGACCTATTTAATGAAGGAGAAAATAGAAAAATAACTGTAGATAGTTAAGGGGTGTTGATGGTTGGGAATGTGGATCCAGCCCCAGGGCAGATGGGAAAAAATTTAGTATTTATTATTTTATATTTAAATTTTCCTGATACTCTTTAAAATAATTATCCTTGTCTAGACAAGGAAAATGAATTTTAATGGTTATTCTTAGTTTGATTTTGATTATAGTTTTTAATTAGCTAGTTTATAGTTCATTTGAAAGTCTTTTACTTTCAGTAGATAAGGCTACTACGAAGAATTCTAACATTTATATTCAAGAAATCAGTGAGAATTTAGGTGTGTATATAATCTAGGAAATTTGTCAACATACATTTAATGACTTAATTGTATTTTGAAATAATCTTAGATTTACAGAAATATTACAAAAATTGGTGTAGAGAATTCCCATGTACCCTTCATCTGTTATGTTCATGTTAACATCTTACATAATAATAGAACCATGATCAAAACCAGGAAGTTAATTTTGGTATGAGTCCACTAACTCGCTGCAGCTCTCATGGTATCGTAGTAGGGTGTGCATGGTTCAACATGTTGTATTACTGGCTAAGTTAAGCTTGACCACTTAATTAAAAAGATTATCTGCCAAGCAAGTTTCTACACTGTAAAGTTACTCTTTGTCCCACTGTGATTAATAAATATCTCAGGGAAGAGACTTTAGCATTATGTATTACTCCATTTCTTCTCAAAACATCGTACATTAATTTTACTATTCTTCAGTGGCTCTTTACTACAAGTTTCTACTATGATATTTTCCACATTTTTTCTACATTTATTAATTGGAATTTTTCAGTAAAGAACAGCTGTTCCTTCTCCATTTATTGTTCAGTAATTTATATCAGTATGAACTCATGGCTATTTATTTTATTCTATAGGCTATTTATGATCTAATTCTGTCATTATTTATTTTGTTGCTCAAGTTGTTCCAAATTTGACCTTTGGGAATTCCTTCAGGTTGGTCCCATCCTTTCATCATGTTTTCTTTATCTTTCCACTACTTTCTTGTTATTTCAGCCACAAAGTTAAGTCTCATCTTCTCTTTTCCTTGCCCCAACATTAGCAACCAACACTCCTCTAAGGAGCTCTGGTTCCTTTTATTAGAGAACAGTATTTAAAAACCAAGATCTGAATGTGTTCATTGCTCCTAGAGTGTCATGGCAGTTACAGTGTCCTTGCAGCCAGGTCTTCTCAGTGGACAGGGCTAGGAAGTATATATGTATGTATACAAAACGTGCATACACACAAGGTACGTATTTATTTCTCTAATATTTATGTACATTAGAAGAAACATGAGTATATACTGATAGCTTGATTCTAATCTGACGCTATATGTTTATTTTAGCCTTCTCTTTTTCTTATTTATAAATTCTTTCTCTAACAGTGAGAAACCTGACTCTTACTACCTGCAATATGTTTGTTCACTTATTGTTTTGCTATCCATATAAAGTAGTTTCAGAACTGCTAACCCATACCTGTATGGGAAAAAAAATCTACCTAGAGTGCATTATTAGTATAAAGATATTACAGTATTCAGCCAAAATAGTTTCCTAAGTTACTTAGGTTAGTTCTTTTTTCCCACACGCATTCACTGTGGTTATTCATTTGTAGACCATTTAGGTTTATTTGCTTTTTTAAAGTTTTTTTATTGGTTTTGCTTGTTTGTTTGGGAGAGGAGGTAACTAAGTTTATTTATTTACTTATTTATTTTAACAGAGGTACTGGGGATTGAACCCAGGACCTTGTGTATGCTAGGCATGCACTCTACCAACTGAGCTATACCCTGCTCCTAGGTTTACTTGCTTTTGTTTGTATTATATTTGGAGTTATCCCACATCCTTGTCAATTTGAATTATTTAGGGAAGTATGTGAAACATTACTATTTGTTCCAACAGTCAAAGCTCTACTAAAAAGATGCACAATGACAAGTGTTGCTCCCCCTTATTCCTACTCTGCCATTTCCATTTCCTTCTTTCTATCCCTTTTCTACCTACCTACTGAAGGTAACCAGTCTTTCAGTTTCTGGGGTTATCCTTCTTATAATGAGCAGATATGTATGTATTTTTTTATATCTAACTCTTTACTACATGAAGTGTAGCATATACTAAATACTCTTTTCAGCTTTGTTTTTTTCACTCAAGCAATATATCCTGCAAATCAATCTAAATCAGTTCATAGAGAATTTGGTCCTTCTTTTATAACTGAAAATACTCCATTGTATAGATTAATACAATACACAAATTATACTTCAGATTATTCAATCAGTGTATGGGTATTTAAGTTGTGCCTAATAATTTGTAATTATTGGATTGGAAGAATTAATATTGTTAAAATGGCCATACTACCCAAAGCAATCTACAGATTTAATGTAGTTCCTGTCAAATTACCCATGACATTTTTCACAGAACTTGAACAAATAGTCCTAAAATTTATATGGAACCATAAAAGGCCCAGAATTGCCAAAGCAGTGCTGAGGAAAAAGACCAAAGCTGGAGGCATAACCCTCCCAGACTTAAAACAATACTACAAAGCTACAGGAATCAAAACAGCAATTTTGGATCAAATTGAACTGCTTTCTTACATCATATACAAAAATAAACTCAGATGGTTTAAAGACCTAAATATAAGACATGACACCATAAAACTCCTGGGAGAGAATATAGGCAAAACAATTTCTGACATAAATCGTACCAATGTTTTCTTAGCTCAGTCTCCCAAAGCAAAAGAAATAAAAGCAAAAATAAACAAATGGGACCTAATCAAACTTAAAAGCTTTTGCACCTCAAAGAAAACCATAAAACAGACAAAAAGACAAGCTACAGACTGGAAGAAAATATTTACAAACAATGTGACTGACAGGAGGTTAATTTCCAAAATATACAAACAGCTCATACAACTCAATATCAAAAAAACAAACAACCCTGTCAAAAAATGGGCAGAATACCTACATACATACTTCTCCAAAGAAGACATTCAGATGGTCGGTAGATACATGAAAAGATGATCCACCTTGGTAATTACCAGAGATATGAAAATCAAAACTACAATGTAGTGTCACCTCACACCAGTCAGAATAGCCATCATCAAAAAGTCTACAAATAATAAAGGCTGGAGAGGGTGTGGAGAAAAGGGAACCCTCCTGTACTGTTGGTGGGAATATAAACTGGTACAGCCACTATGGAGAACACTATGGAGATTCCCTAAAAAAACTAAAAATAGAGTTACTGTATGAGCCAGCAGTCCCCCTTCTGGGCATATATCTGGAAAAGACAGATTCTAATTTGAAAAGACACATGCACCCCAGTGTTCATAGCAGCACTATTTACAATAGTCAAGATACGGAGCAACTTAGTGTCCATCAAAAGATGAATAGATAAAAATTAGGAACTTGTCCTTTTTTAATGCTCTGGAATAATTATAAAGCATTAGAAGTAATTATCAAAATTGGCCCCATAGTTGGCTGTTGTACAGTATTCTTAGTTTAATGGCACCCTCTCCTTTCCCCCCCTTTTCTTATCGTCCAAGTTGCCAAAGGGTGCCTCTCCATTCATTTTTGTCTTTTATCTTTCCCAGAAGCTATGCATTTCACAGATTGTTGCCTTTAAATCGTACAAGCTTTTAAGTTCCTTCTGTGTGTTTTGTGTTCTCATCTACCCACTTTTTTTCTTAGCATTTTCAAACTTAGGACTTTGTGATGGTGATTCTTAATCAATGTTAAGTCCCTTTACCAGTTCACATTTTTGGTTTGTTTTGGTCAGTCTTTGCTTGCCACAACTCTTTGTGGAACAGTGAGGATGGAGTGGGAGCAGTAGAGATCAAGGGCTCATATTAAAATTTTTTTCCTCTCTTTATTCACAATTGTTTTGAAGTTTTGACATTCTTTGTCTTCAAGTTAGGCTAAAGTATGGTTTCCAGTGGAATTTGCTTTTTCCTTGTTGCCTGTCATTTGGGAGGAAATAGTATGAGTTACATATCTGTGCAGTTGCCATTTTCTTCAACATTGAAAATTTTTGTAGTATATTACTGTTTCTCCAGTCTCTTAGGCATAGATTATAAAACAAATGAATTAGGAGCAACAGTGACTTTTTTGGGAAGTCAACATAATTAACTGTTTTCTATTGTTAAAGGTTACAGATGAGGCAATTTAAGAAGAACTGGAAGTATGATTTAGAGTCAGCCTTGAATGAAATAGAGGTATGATACTTATTAAATAAGTTAATGGAATCTCTGAAAAACAATAACAACAAAGACGCTTGAAATAGTAATCCAACTTTAGAAAAAGTTTTAGAAATGTGACTACATAAGGAAGAAAAGAAAGTTTTATTTACTTACTAGTTAATGCTTTGAAATGCAAACATTTTTAGAGTTGTGAACTATTCTAAAAATAATTGTAGAAGTTGTTCAGTTTGAAATTAACTTACATTAAGGTGTAATAATCTGTAGCTTAGCCTTTAATTTTTGTCACTGGGTAGACTCACTCAGTGCACAAGTTGGCTTTCTTGTCATGGTCCGTGCATGGCTGCAGGATGTGACCTGACTGAGTAAAGCCAAGGTCACGAACACTCTCCAAGCACTTAATGTCTGAATAAGAGATAGAGGACTTTCAGGATGATTTTACTTTTTAATTTAAGATCACTTTTGTACTCATGCTAGTAATTGTTGGTCTAGTCTAACTTAGTATTTATACCCTTTAAACAGTTTTTGTTGCTGTGGGAAACTTCCTTAGTTTAGAAGATAATAGGAAGACAGTAAGTTTACTGAAATTTACTTTGTAGCCCCTTTTGTAGAAGTATGCTCAAGATGATGTGTGGATCCCAAATCATAAATGGCCCAATAACTGTAAAATGCAGTCTCTAAAAGTAGTAAAACAACACATTGCTGTGGAGGAAGCTCAAATCATGCTGCTAATTATCTGTTTTCCACAAAATCTATCTTCAGTATCTTATTCAGGTTTGGAGGTGACATCATTAAGTACATTAGGAACTAGATACTTAAAACAAGTGTACGCTGACATCTGGAACTTGCGGAGGTTTTGCTATCGTCAGATTGTACAGTAATATGTTATTGATGTTGTAGCAATTGTTAGTTTATAAGATTTGCAGAGATTATGTCTAATTAATTTCTATTTATCTGATGCCTGCATGTGCCTACCCCATAATATATTTGCATAAATGAAAGCTTGCATTTGTTTTGTTTTGTTTTTAATATTTCTCTTAGTGTTATAAAGAAAAAGGTGACTGGACCAAATTGGGAAATTTATACATAAACATAAAAATAGGCTGTGAAAAATTTGCAGATTTGCAGAGATTTTGCACTTGTATTGCTGAAACACTAACAAAAGACTGTGAAGAAGAGAGACCAGGTGTTCCATTTTGTGAATTTGCTGAAACAGGTAAATGTCAGTGTTTTGATTTGAGTATTGTGTGTTAGTGTGTTACAGTGTTCTTTCTGATTGATTGATTGACTAACCAATACAATGTTCTTAGCATATAAAGAAAGCTCTTAATATTCTCCATGTTGGGGATAAGTTGATATTGCAAGTTTTAGATACTTTCCCTTCTCTTTATAAGTTTTTCCATCTATTAATTGTTAAATTAGATTATAATGATATAAGGTCAATGTAAAATCAGATATTTCATGTCTTTATTTTTCATTCATATTGGTAGAACTATTACTGCAAATTATAGTGAAGCATCTAAATTTCTGAATCATTAAGTTGTTACTATCTTCACTATTAAAAGTCAACAAAATTCGTATTTTTTTAGACCTTTTTTTTTTTCCCACATGAGCTCTTCACAGCTATATTCTCTGTCAGAGTCGGCAAACTTTTTCTGTAAAGGACCAGATAGTAAGTATCGTAGGCTTTGTACACGTGACATGTAGTCTGTGTCACATAATCTTCTTTCCGAACAATCCTTTAAAAATAAAAGAACTGTTCTTACTGGTTCACAGGCTATACAGAAATGGGCCACAGGACAGATTTGGCCCATGAGCTAGAATTTGCTGACACCTGGTCTTGGTGGTAGTGTCACTAATTCCATATTAAATTTGCCTTTTCCTTCATTCTAAGTGACTGTTTCACTTTCTTTCATATACCTACTTTGTGTTTCAGTTAGCAAAGATCCACAAAACAATGAAGCAGATAAAACTTTGCTGGGAAGAATCGGAATCAATGCTATGTACTTCTATCACAAGCTGTTGCAGTGGTCCAAGGTACTTCATTAAATTTTAATTTTGGCTTGGTTTATAGAAAGTTAGTTTTAAAATTTTGAACAGAATATAGATTAACCCTGCAAATTAGGAATTTGCTCATAATCATTGCAGGTGGCAAATTGAGACCCAGACACTAAGTGAATTATTTGGTGGCAAATCAGGCAAGTGTGAAAAGGAGGTGGCAGGAGACGGGCTACTATGAAGAAGCTCAGTATCGGGAACACTGAGGAAGCTGTGCTAAATATCGTATTTATTTGAAGCACCTTTTAATTCAGAATTTATTTTGCCAGCTCCTGAGTATTGGTAGCATTATAATTTTGGAAGACCTTTCTTAAGATGAACCCAGGATTGACACAACATTGTAAACTGTCTATACCTGAATTTAAAAAAAGGAAAAAAAAAAGGTAAACCCAGGATACTCACAATTAACAGAACTCCTTTAAAATCACCTCTTAGGATTCCCTGCTGTATGTCTTCATGTATTTCTTTGAGGCTTAGCTCACCATTGAAGCAGTGTAGGGATTCTAGACCATGCTGTACTGCCATTCTTTAGATTTCCCTGAGGTGGCGGGTGGAGTTGTAGATTCAATAAAGTTAAGTAAAGTAAAGACCAGGAAAATGTAAAATAGGAAGTGCTGAGGGATGGAGTAATACAGAGAGTAGGATAGTTGAGAGTGGGGTTGCTCTAGAATCAGCTACTGAAATGTGACTTGTATTCCTTTTCATAAAGAGGTTAGTTTACAAGTGAAATAACATTTAAGTAAATGGTCACTTATATACATTAAAAATTTATGAATTAAAAAAAAACTTTTAAGAAATCATTGTACAGGGGGGAGGATATAGCTCAAGTGGTAGAGCACATGCTTAGCATGCATGAGGTCCTGGGTTCAATCCCCAGTACCTCCTCTAAAAATAAATAAACCTAATTACCTCCCCCCTTGCCAAAATAAAATAATAATACAATAATAAGTAAATAAAAATACCGAAAAAAGTTTTTAAAATAATTAAAAAAAGAAAAAAGAATGAAAGAAATCATCGTACAGAAGTTTCTCCAGTCTCCAAGGTCTCCAAGAGGTTTAGCACTTATTGTGTAGCAGGCCTGGGATGGGCAGAGTGTACCATGTCCCTGCTCTCACAGTACAGTTTAAAGTTGATCATAGCATTAATTTCTTGGATATTTAATGCTTGAGAATTTGAGGACTACCTAGTAAGAAGACCCTTTTTTAAAACTCATCCTGATTTTGCTGAAATTTTAGTTTTATTTGGTTATTTTTATTAAGATATAAGAGGTTGCTGAATTTGTGCCTGTATTTTAATTTTAAATGTTTATTAAAAATTATTTATCTTATTTAGAATGAAAATGTTATTATCTTAGCATGAATTTTTTCATGAAACTTACTCCTTTTTGAACATTAAAGTAAAACTGTTGGAATTAATGTATCCCTTGAAAAATGTGCTCATTTACAAATTGAAAGTACTCTGACATCATAATATGCATCTGACTCAAAACAGCGTATATAATACAATACAAAGCAAGAGTTCTGTAAACTAAAAGCCAGATCTGGCCCACAGTCTGTTTTTATACAATTTGTGAGTTAAGAATGTTTTTTTATCACAGCGAAAAAAAAGTGACAGTATGTATGTTCATGTATAACTGAAAAATTGTGCTCTGCACTGGAATTTGACACAGCATTGTAAGATGACTATAACTCAATAAAAAAGTTTTTAAAAAAAGAATTTTTTTTTTACATTTTTAAAGACTTAAAAATTATAAAACAACGAAAAATAATATGCAGCTGACCAAATGTGACCTGCAAAGCCTAAAGCATTTACTCTCTGGTTCTTTATGGAAAAATTTTGCTGACCCCTGGTATAAAATAATAATACATGTCTATGTCCCAGTTTCTGATGTCTACCCTAGAGGCAGTCTTTATGTAAAATATGTGAAATAATTAGCCTATTGAACAAAAAAAAAATTTTCAGCCAACAGTTTTACCTCTTTTTTTTTTCCCCACTATCATTCTTTATCTAAATTTGATACTGTCTTTTTTTCACTGACTCTCCCTCCTGGATCTCAGGGTGATCAACAGGAGAAGAGCAAAACATATAACAGGTAGTTTTCCACATTAAGGCATGAAATCCTTTTTCCAAGTGAAATCTTTAGAGGAAGCACAGCGAATAAAACAGATGAAAGGAGAACTGCTGAAAGGGGGCCCAGCAGGGGGCGTGGCTAATATGAGGCAAACCCCTGCTTGCCTCCCCTTCCTTCCCATCTCTTTGGTTGAGCAGGAAAGGGCTTAAGGAGAGAGTCTGGGAGCAGTTCAGCTGTCAGTCTAGAATGGTGATTCAAACTGCATAATTGTCTTCTATATAATTTTTGGTGACTTTGTATCTCTATAATACTCTACGTGATTGATACTCAATTAATGCTGTTTTTTTTTCTTTTTTTTTCCTCTAGGGACGGAAGGTCTTAGACAAACTGTATGAGTTAAAAATACATTTTACAAGTTTAAAAGGACTTATAGGGCCTGAGAAGTTAGCACCAAGATGTCAGATTGTGAATATTGCAGCAGAAATTTTTCTAAAAAATGGAAACCTGGATGGTGCCATTTGGGTCTTAAGGGGTAAGTTCTGATATATGCTAGCATAAAATAATTTGTTAAGCTTGTTATAAATTCTTGTCTTTGTATTTACCTCAAGTTGATACTGAATTGTGGGTAATAATTTGGTCTAAACTAGTAATCATGTGGGTAGGAAAGGTTGTTGTGTAAAATGAAAGGAGAACATTAACCTCACTTTAAAGAAGAAACTATATGAACCTTTGTTGAAAAGGTAGTTCTTACTTTGGCGCAATCACCATATAAATGCTTTACGTGATTATCTCAATTAATCTTCACAGAAACCCCATGAGGTTGGAATTATTACAATCCCCACATTATAGGTAAGAAAATGTTACGAGACATTAAGCAGCTTGCCCCAGATGACTAACAAGTGAGGAGTGGAGGCCAGATTCCGTCCCGGACAGTCCAGCTTTCAGAGCCCAAGCTTCAGCTGCTGAGACAGGGAAGTCCCGACTGCAGTCTGCATAAACTGTATCTGTACATGCGCAGACAGGCATGGCTTCAAACCAAGACAAGTAAAGTTTATTTTCCCTGGTAAGTCAGTTCGTCTAGAGAAACGACAGTGAGATTAAGCTAGCAGAAGCTACTTAGTTTGGTATGAGGTAAATGAAAACGTAGATGGCACAGTAGCCGCACAGCATCTAATAGTAGCTTTGGCTACGTGCACCATCAAGCAAATCTTATTTGATAAAATGGGATATATAAGACTGAAGAAATCTCAAGAATCTCAGAGTTTCGGTGAAAGACAGAATAAATGCATGAGTAAATAAAATAGAAATCCTTTACACTAACACTCAAGACTAGCATGCATACATATTCATATATATGTATATAAAACACCTATATTTGTTCACTGCTGAGGGTTTATGGAATATATAGGCTCTGATTGGACTTCGTGATCAACAGCTTGTTGGAAAAGGTTTTCTTCAACTTAAACATAGCCAGTGAGGTTTCCTCGGAGAGGAAGAACAACCATATAGAAAGATAAAATACAAAATGATAATAGAAAATGCAAAATATACAAATACAAACTAGAATGTATATAGAAATAGGAGGTAGAAAAATGCAAGCCGGAGCTCACCAGCTCTGTGAGAAAGATGAGATGCAGCAAGAAATTAAAAGGGTAAAAATCATTGGTAGAAGTGGGCTTGGTGATCTTCTGCCTTCAAAGTTTCTGGCAAATCCAGTCTTTCTGAAACTAGTGGCTGGGGAGAGTTTGTAGTAGGGGTGAGGAGTGGTCTATGGAGATTTACAGTTTTTACAATTTTGATGCTTCAGTTTTGAGATTATCTTTTAAGATTCTGTCAGTTATAAATGCAAGATTTTCTTTTGCAGTGACCATGTCAATTGAAAGTCATTTTCATAAGTAAAATTTTATTTCTTTCCAAAAAAGACCCACAGAAGTATGTTAAATTGTCCCCAGATTTTTTTTTGTTCTTAAAAGCGTTCTGCAGTGAACAGGCCATTCTCAGGAAAGCAAATACAACTGCCTTGTAATAAGTGAGAGCAATACTCAACTTGTATTAAGAGACAAAAACATTAACATCCTAAACACCTGTCAGACCAGCAAAGGTTAAAGGCTTGTGATATGCCTTTTGTGAGGGTAGAAAGAAACAAGCCTTCACATACGTTGTCTTTTAGATAAAATATCTGTCAAAATTTAGTAATGCTAATTTCCTTTAATCTATTAACTCCATTTTTAGGAATTTTTCCTACAAACACATTTACATCTGTATGCAAACATATGCACTGTAAGTTATCTGGAATCTTTTTTTTAAGCATCAACAGTGATAACAAACAATTCCAGATAACTTAAATGTCCATTAAGGATGTACCAGTTAGTGAAACTATTTGATAGCCATTTGATGGAATGGAATGAGGGACACCTGCAGGTACTCATTGGAATGCTCTCCAGGATCTTTTACCAAGTAAAAAAAGGGATGTGTTGAACGGCGTACATAGATGCTACCATTGGTATAAAAAAAAAAGAATACATACATATAATCTTTATACTTTTGAAGTATTTGTATGCACAAGAAACTAGTAATAGTGGGTGCTTCTGGGAAGAGAATTGAGTGCTTGGAGGGCAGGAATGAGAGGCACATTTCCTTTTTACGTATTTTTCTATACTTTTTCCTTTAAAAAACATATGCCTTTATTACCTATTAAACTTTTTTAAAACGAAGTTTGAGAAATGTAGAATATTTTACACATTTCTTATTTAGTGGGTGGCAGACTTTATGGTGAGAAGAAATCAGTTGTTTTAGCTTTTCACATTTTCACTTGGCCATTTTAAACTTTTTCTCAGCACTGATACCTTGCATCCTGGCAGATAAGCAGCAGATTCCTACCTTGCTTTCTCCCCTTACCAGCATTAAAAACAAAGAAAGAAAGAAAAAAAAATCCTTAAAACCATAATTTTAGTTTTAGTCAAGATTTGGAGGCTGAAAAAAAGTGTCTTAATGTTCTAGAATACAAATTTTGTTTAAAAAAATGCTATGCTATTTATTGAGAAACTGCCCTTGAATTTTAAAATAACTTCTGTTACCTTTATAGAGGTAATACATAGTCATTATAGAGACATAAGAAGAGATGAATAAGCAAAATGGTGGTAAAAAGTCCATATCAAGCCACCTGGAAATGAGTGTGTAAATTAAATGGATACATTTGTTATTGACCACTTTAGTGATGCTCTGCAGACTCCTTAGTGCCTTGCATTTTCTTTAGGCAGCCGTCTTCCTGTGGACATCTTTCTGTGAAAGGGAATATTTCTCTACAACATAACTTAATGGGCTGCATGGTTTTCCATCTTATGAATAAATATAGATAAACATAGAGACCGATCCATGAGTCCCCTTTTCTTGAACTAGCTGGTTTTTAAATTTCTATGAACAACAATCCCTGCTAAACGTCCGTGCTAAATCTTTATTATGTCCTTAGGATAAATTCTGATGAAATTACTGGATTAAAGGTAAGGGCAGTTTAAAGCTTTTTGGTAAATGTTGCCAAATTTGCTCCTGTTGCCATCCAGATTTGCAGCGAGTTATTTTGAGTTTTTTAGAAAGCCTCCTTTTGTGAGAAAATCCTTAGAGAACTGTTGCATAAGGATCTTCTGTACAGACACTGTCCTATTAGGGACCACAGGTGCATATAAACTGTCCAGATGTTAGTGCCCAATAGTACAGTTTTTAGTTACCAGACAGTGCACTTCAGTTTAGGCAAACCCTAATCGGCTGTTCAGTACATTCCATTCTGGGTCTTGCCATTTTCTCCAAAAGATATTTTAAAACATTAGTTATTATTATACTGTTTAGTGTAATGTTCATGGTGTTTTTACTTTTTCTTTTTGTAAGAGTCAGAGTGGATCATCAATACACCACTGTGGCCTTGCGATAGACTGGATGTGCTCAATCGGCATAATCTGCTCTGTACAATGGCACATGAAATCTTAGCAAAGAGCCTTTATAGACAGACATTTGAAGTTTTACAAAATCTACCAGGTTTTCAAAATTCTGAAGGTATGTTTTTTGAAAGTTTAGCTTAATTATCTCTGGCCCATCTGGTGTTTAACTGTTAATAAGAAACAGTTCTCCACCTGTTTTGGTTGAGTTTTTTGTCCCAGCACATATTTTTAATGATGTTGTTTTTTGTAAAATGTGTTCTCTGCAAATTGAATATGCTTTCCTGATGGTTTAAAAAAAATCAGATGCTTATCTTTGGATTGTTTGTCAGCAGTTCCTAAAAGGAGCATTTCCTGATTCCCCTTTTCCTACTTCTGTCAAGTCATGAGCAAACAGTATGTTAAATTCCCCCAGCAAGTGTCATACCTTAAAATAATTCATTGCATTGGAAAAATAAATAATACTTTTTCTTTTATCACTTAACAAATATAGAACTTACTTTCCATTACATTGGAACAGAGGGAAACGTGGAGGAAATGGAGGAAATTAAGCAGATAACAAGTTCAGAGAAAGAGAATACTGTGGGCATTGGCAGGTAGTGCCCTTGAGTGCTTGCAAGTCACATGCAGGCAGCATGTCGAGGGAAGCGGCAGAAGCTGTGGGTCAGGAATGAGCTGAGGGATGGGTCAGAGTAATGGGTTAATGTTTAATGAAAACAAAAACGTTAACGTGAAGGCCTCCCCTCAGTGCTTTATCAGTGTCCCTTTTCCCATTTATTCCACTGGCATATTGCAATTAGTGTTCTTAACTGTTTCTCCCTCTAGACAATAAACTCCTTAAAGGCAGTGATATTTTCTTTATCTTGGTATCCCTGGTACAGTGGCTGCTGTAGAAAAGGCTTTTGATAAGTAATTATGTTATAATGAAACAAAATAATAATAGTGAGATTGAGCAGGTGGTTGTGCCGGACTTTAGAAGATCCTGAATGGCAGACTAAACAGACCTTCTTCTCTATGTGTAGTAAGGGGTCGCTAGAGTTTTGGGGACAGGTAGTGATGTAATCAAGTTGGTGTTATAGGAAAGTTCCCTGGTGGTAATGTTTGGAAAGAGACTAAAAGTAAGGAGATAAATTTCCTAATTAGGCCTAGACCACTAAAAAATCCTAAAGTGATAAAGACCTGGAGTCTAGGCACTGACTGATTCTAGGCAGTAAAAGAGTTGGAAGTCTCCGAGGGGACTTCACTGTCTTCGAAGTAAAGAGCAGAAAGGAGTAGACATATGTAGTAAAGGAGGGTTTTTTAAATTTTTTGAACATTTTTGGGGGGAAGCAATTAGGTTTATTTTCAAGTTAATTTATAATTAGGTTTATTTTTTATTTTACTTATTTATTTTTGGTGGAGGAACCATGTATTGAACCCAGGGCCTTGTGCTTGCTAAGCATGGTCTCTACCACTGAGCTATACCCTCCCCACTGAGGTTTTTTTTTTTTTTTGAATTTGAGAGTGAATATTTATGAGAGGATGATTTATTTTAGTCATCGGAAGGAGAAGTCTGAGGTGTGCACCATAGATAGAATGCAAACAGAACTGTGCAGTCATTCATCAGAGACCCTGCACACGGCAGTCACCTTGTGAGGACCATGGATAGAGGTGTTAATGCAGCCTCTGAATTCACATTCCCTTCACATTCTCCATTACACAGTAAATGAACGGTTTTGCTTCTGTTGAGTGCTTTTTTTGTTAACTTAGACAACATGTAAGATGATTACATTTTAGTGACTATGACTCCTGTAGTGGGTAGGAAGGGGCCAAGGGGAGCAGAGGGGAAAGGAGAAGCATTAAGAGGGAAGTTTAGGAGATGAAGACGCATCAATTTCATTATGTCATTTATTTTTTCTTTTCAGAAACTGTGGAGGTCTCACAGTGTAGTCTTCTTTTTAATAAACTTCTGGATGCCTGTATAGAAGACAACTGCCTTGGCATGTCATCCTCCGTAGCAGAGTTCATGATTTCAAAGAGCATCCCTACCGATTTTTCCTTTCTTAGAAGATTGATTACTTCTTTAGGAAGGAGTAATTTATGGCTCAAAGCCAGAACCCACTACAAAAGTAAGTTACATTTTAAAAATTAAAATCTGATATATTGGTTTTTAATTTAATTTTCTAAACCTAAATCCATGTACGATATTTACATTGAGGCACTGAATATATAAAAAGAGCAGTTGATACACATTCAAAGATATCTAAACAGAGCTGTACTCTTTTGAAACCTGTTACTAATTACTATATTTTGTTTCTAATTGCTGTATCTTTTATTTCTTTGTGTATTAACATGTCCACTAGATGATGTGAAAAGGAAATAAATGACACAATTTGAACCAATTTGGTATATTTTTTAAACAGATAGGAGTTAAACAATTGGTAGAATGAAGTTTAAGAGGTAATCACACACCTATCACTGATCTTTATGGTAGAATATTTTATAACAGGCCGCAGGAGGTACAAAGGCTGCCGTTACAATGCAGCATGACACATGACAGTTTTTCATGTGGCTCCTAGTAATAGAACTTTGTTAATCTGTTTACAATTGTTCCTCTCTAATAAGTAAGCTTAGAAAACTAACGCTTTCTCTAGTCCCAGCCTCTTCACAGGTATTTTATTAAGAACACAATTTTGTGTAGAATCTAGATCTAGAAAGGAGTTCTTTTCTGCCTTCAGGCAGTAATTTGTCTTAAATTTTCCTTTCTACCACTGTCATCCATATAACAAACATTTGAGGACCTAGTGTGTGTCACCCTTGTGCCACCCCTACCGGCACCAACAAAAACCTCTCTCAGCTTGAAATTGTTTTTCACGTTGCCAGCTGTGATCAGTTTAGCAAGTGGTAACTTTTTTCCCCAATGAAATGAGAAAGAAAATATTAGCGTGCATTACAGATAGTAAGGTTAAGTATTATTTGATAAAATTTTCATTTCAGTTACATATATTCATGTATGTGTACTGGGTCATTATGTAAAATGTATTTCTTATTGTAGATTACAATCAAAAGAAATTTCGAAAGCAGAATTTTTTTGAAGATGATCATAAATTTTGAGGAAAGGTAGAATGGTTTGTTCATAACACTTCATTTCACTTTTGTGGTTATGTTTCAACTCCTTATAGTATTTCCTTGAAGACTGCTAGGAATCACACTACAAAGTATATATGTACTGTTTGGTGTAACTTGATGATTTTAGTTTTTAGAATTGATGTTAATGAGGTCACTTTTTTCAAATGTGCAGTTTGGGGGAAGTGCCATCAGAAAGCATTTGTATGCCACAGAAACAAAGTATTAACTTGGAAACATTTAAGTGAGATTTCTATGAATCTTTCTGTTTTTTAGTTGGAAATAAAATTTTGTATTAAAACAGCTAAACTTAATCATTTAAAAATTTGTATTAGCAGCTTTATTGAGATATAATTCAAATATGAAGTTCACCCATTTAACATGTACAATTCAATGGCTTTAGTGTATTTACACAGTTGGGCAACCATCACCACAGTCAAACTTAGAACATTTTCATCAGGCCAAAAAGAAACCCCATGTGCATTAATAGTCACTCCCTATTCCTCCAAATTGTTCCAGCCCTAATGATAATTTATTTTTTAAGTTTTTTGTTTTTGTTTTTTTTTAGTGTGTGTTAAAGCAGTTAATGCCTGGGTACAATTCAGTACCTTCCTTATTAGCATTCTTCCTTTTATCTAAACACACCTGTGCCTAATTTTATGTGCAGTAAAATTCTGGGGCTTATGCAAGTAAGGTTATATGGGTAAAGAGTGTTTTTGTTTTTATTTAATGTACCTGAGTTATAAAATGAAATGAATAATTCATAGTCACTGATCAGTCTTCAAAACATCTTATTTCCTGAGAGTGCTGACGTTAAAGTATCAGTGGAACTCTCTTTGATTTATCTTCACACATAGCTTACCACAAGCTAGAAAAGACTTTCAGTGCCTCATGATTACATCTAGAGCTACATACTTCATTCTGAGCTTACGGCTAATTCTTCTTCAAGGCACTTATGTTACGGCTGTGGTGCCAGTGCCTTTGTTTTGCTTTTTAAAAAAGTATGTTTACAGCTTTATTAACATAATTTTGCATACTATAAAACATATGCATGTAAAATGCACAGTGCATTCATTTTTATATTCAGGGTTGTGCAGCAATCACCACAGTCTAATTTTAGAACATCTTCAACACCTCCAAAAAAAGAAATCTGAAACACATTTGCATTCCTTCCCCGTTCCATGTATGTTCCCCACCCGACGCAGCCCTAGGCAACAATTCATGTCTCTGTCTCTATGGATTTACCTGTTCTGGGCATTTCACATAAATAGAATCATTCAATATGTGGTTTTTTGTGACTGGCTTCTTACACTTAGCATAATGTTTTCAAGGTTCATTCATATTGTAGCCTGCATCAATATCTCTTTCCATTTTATTGCTGAATAGTACCCTATTGTATGGAATTTGTTTATCTGTCCATCAGTGATGGACATTTGCATTGTTTCCACTTTTTGGCTATTAAGAGTAACATTGCTCTAAACATTCACATACAAGTTTCTGTTTGGACGTATGTTTTTCATTTCTCCTGGGAGCAGAATTGCTGACTCATATGGTAAATCTGTGTTTAATATTTTGAGGAACTGCCAAACTGTTTTCCAAAGAAGCTGTGCTGTTTTACATTTATATTGCCAGCGGCCATGCATGGGACTTCCGATTTCTTCACATCCTCACCAGCACTTGTTACTAGGTTTTTATTTTAGCCTTCCTAGTAGATGTATAGTGGTGCTTCACTGAGGTTGTGATTTGCATGTTCCTAAGATTAATGATGTTGAGCATCTTTTCATGTGGTTATTGGCCATTTGTATATCTTTGTGAAGAAATGTTTGTTGGATCCTTCACCCATTTTTTTCTTTGTACTATTTTAAATGGAGGAGTTTTTGTTTTTTCTTGCTGAGTGTGCAAGTGGAGGGGTACTTATCAGTACACTTATGATATGCATATATATAAATATATACACACACACACACTTCAGATATAAGTCCCATGTTAGATATATAAATTCATGGGTTTTTTTTTCTGTTCCATGAGTTGTCTTTCACTTTCCTGATGCCTTTGCTTTTGTCCCCAAACTAATCAGAGGGAAATTGTCCAGGGACAGCAGAGTTGCCTTCCTGATGCTCCTAATTTGCTACCTAGTCCTAAAAATATTGCTTTTCTCTTGGAGCTAAAAAGTCAGGAAGGGGAGATGTTAGTGTTTCTTTCTATTACTTTCTGCCCCTAAAGCCAAATGGAGTATTTTTCTTTTCATGTCTGATTTTAGGGGAAAAAGTAATGTGAGTAAATTTCTACTCAGTTTATTGGCTTTGGTTTTCCACTTCTCAGAAAAGTAGAACAGAAATGCACATAAATTATATCTACCGATAGCTCAGAGAATTAACAAGTCAGTGATTGGTTGGTCCTGGCAGTGGTCTAGGGAGACGGGACTACCTAGTGGTTAGGGTTCCAAAATCTGGAGTCAGAAGGCCAGGGTGCTTACATACAGCACCCCCCATCTATAATACGAGCATTGTTGTGCCTAATTGCAAAGTTGGTGAATTGTCAGGTTAAAATTAGATAAAACCTATATGTACCTGGGGAGTAGTAGGGCCTCAAAGATTAGTCATCATCATCCACAGTAGAAAGATTTCTTGAAGAAACTTATCTTAATAAGACATTTTAAGCAAATTTTACACACAGATTTAAATTGGTTTCAGTAAAATATTGCCCATATACAATTTGGATGTCCCAAGACTTATGTATAGAAGATTTCCCTATGTATCACTTGTAATAAGTACATAAACATTTTTAGAGTTTAAATCTCTTCTTTGGAAAAGTGAAAATTTCAGAACATGAACTGGTGAACAACACATAGAGTGCCTACACGATGGAAGTGTATTTTATTCATTTTTGTATTGCATCTTTAGCATACTGCCAGCGTGTAGTAGGAACAGCACACATTTATTGCACAAGCTGTAACAGCACTATAAATAAGCGTGCTCAAAAATACTGTAAAACTATGTGATACAAAGTAAAATCTTCAAATTCTATCTTCTATTTTCTTTCTACATTTTGGATTCATAATTCTTTTTTTTTACATTTTTCATCGAGTTATAGTCATTTTACAATGTTGTTTCAAATTCCAGTGTAGAGCACAATTTTTCAGTTATACATGATGGATTCATAATTCAAGATAGGGAGTTATTATAAGTATATATATAGTTTCTGTTAGACCCAGGTCCCATTAAAACAACACCCGAGTAGCTATTTCTGATTTTTTAGTTATTCTGAAATTATGTTGTGTTGACTGTGGCTTGAAATAAGTGGGCAGTTGCTCCAATGAGGCTCAAAAGTAATTTTTCAGAGGGTTTTTTTTAAATTTCTCATTTCATATTTAATGTTTCAAAAACATTTTACAAAGGATGATTTCACATGTACTAGGATAAGCTCACCACCATATAATTTGTACAATAAATCTGCTTCTAATGTGAAGAATTATTCTGTAACAAAAGTAATTATCACCTCTGGATATTTTGGAAACCTAGGTTTTCACCTGTTGGGGTTTTAGTAAAGTCTGATCTGTTACTTGATTTTCAGGTGCTCTTTCATTGGGTTGTTACCCACCATTGGAGGGGAATTTATACCGAAAAATTCTACTGATTCCTTCCTGTTTGTCTGAGATCGAAATGCTTCTAGCTGTTGAAATCTTCCTGGTATCTAACGCTAGTAGTACTCAGAGTCCTGAAACTTCTACAGAGATGCTGCAGATCGTTTTAAAAAGGTTGGTTGAAATAACTTTAACTGCATCCTGAAAGCAGATTGTGGCTCCCTACACCTGCCCTAGGATGTAAATGTTTTATTTATGTATATATATAAACATATGTAAAGCATTTATATATTTGTATACTTGTGCATGTATAGTATTGACAAACTTTGGTAACATTTATATTGAGAAAGGATTTGACCTTTTGAGACTTAAAACTGAACAAGTTAGTACCTTTCAAGAAACACTTTAACAACTTCAAAGATCTTGTTAGATGGTCATAGAGACAGATCTTCTTTAGGTATGGATCTTTCTTGTGTACTGATAGTTTTTAGATAGAAACCTAGAAGTTATTTATCTTTATGGTCATCACAGAAGATCTAAGAACCAGGTGTAAAAGGGAAATATATGATAATTTATTAGGTTCAGTCAAGAATCCTCTTGAAACTAAAGCCATCAGCCTAGTCTCAATATTTTAAAATGTTGTTATAAATGCATAAATATTATAACATAGCTCTTGGACCAGAGTGGCATCCCTTCAAATAATTTTATTCAAAGTCCAGAATTTAGGTTTACAACACTCCAATTTCTTGTCAGCTTTATCCAGGAAACTTGTAATATGAGGATCTCATGGGATTCCTATTTTAGAGTTTTTTGACCAGAGTTTTGCTTCAGTTTACTGGTGGTACAGACCAGATCCTCAATCTGAATAGTCTATTAGTTATCTGTTACAGTTTTTGGATTATCCCAAAACTTTGTGGCTTAAAACAGCAAATATTATCTTAGTTTCTGTGGGTCAGGAATTTTGGGAGTATCTTATTAGCAGGATGGTTCTGGCTCAGTCTCTCGTGATGTTGGAGTCAGGATGTGATCAGGACCTGAATCACCTGCCTGACAGCTTCACTGGGCCCGGAGGATCCATTTCCCAGCTGGCTCACTCACATGCCTGCTGGCAGGAAACCTTAGCTCCTCGCCACATGGGCCCCTCCATAAGTTTCTTAAGTGTCTTCATGACATGACAGCAAACTTCTCTCAGAGTCAGTGATCCAGGAGGGAAAGCAAGGAGGAAGCTGCAGTGCCTTTTAGGACTGTATCAAGAACTGTGAAGGCTCTGAGATCTCACCCTATTTGCAGGCTACAGGTCAGCCTGCTACAGTTTCAAGGATTCTGGCATAAAATAGAAGACTCCTGGGTTGGAGACAGGACTTTATTAATTATGGCACAGCAAGCAGCATGATTATCTGCATATTTGTATCTGTTCCTCTTGCTCCCAAGTCCCACAGATGGGCCAGGATGGATACCTGCACATGCAGTGGGTTCTGTTACCCAGGAGAGGACTCCTGAACCTAGAAACTCAAGTCCTTTATAAAGGGATAATAAGCATGCCTGCCCCCCCGCTCTTCAGGAAAATACTGTCTCCACCTTGTAAGGCTGTAAGCAAACCTGTCTTTTGCTGCAAAAGGAGAAACTCTTTGTCTTTCAAAGTTGTTCACTGTATTAGACATTCTTCTAATCTGGAACAAGGGGTAGTCAGTGTATCTACTCTCAAAACTTAAAGAAATGCAAGGGGCCATGAAAAATTGGTATCTAACAACCTCGTGTCCTAAGTTGTACAGTGTCATTTCTGCTCTATTTTTGATAAACAAGTCATTCAGCCCAGCCCATACTGAAGGGGAGGAGAATTGGGAAATAATTTATTTTAGGTCCACTTTTTTTTTAAACCCACTAAAATTAGCTTTTTTGTTAGAGCTCTTTTCTGAGGGCTTCCTCTTCACCACTGTGCACCCCAGTGGCATGACGCATTTGGGCTTCCATCGCTTCCAGAGGATTTGGTTTTCTCATAGCTTTCCATTCCCCACACATGTGCAGCCTCTGTATTCAGTACTGAATTTGTGATGCTAGTACCTAACAGTGGCATGCCTGGATCTTTGGTTTTGTCCAAACCAATGTTGTTTTCTCTATTATTATTATCATATTGAGCCCTGCTGTCAGCCAAGGAAGGCTGATGTGGTGTTCTAGGAGGTGAGAGGCCCAAACGAACAAATGCACGAGGAGGTGCCATACCGCCGGACAGACTTCAGCCGGAGACACCATAGGGTCAACAACACTTTATTGCCACAGGGAGGTGCGCCTATGATGCACCCGTCCTGCTTTTATCTGTTTTCTGTCAGCACATGTGCAGTCTGAGTTTCTTTGTTCATTAGGCTTACAGAATATCTCTAGCACATGCGTACTTCTATTTTCTTTGTTCTGAATCTTACATAATTGATGCATGCGTGGAGCAGTTATTTACTGCATACTATAAACATGCTCCAATCGTGACCTTGGGTCCCACGGCCTTAACTCATCTCAAGATCAGCTTATACCTGCCTTAACCTCTGAGAGAGTTTTATTCATCATTAGACTTTCAAAAACTGCATGTGGTTGGCATACGCCCAGTCTACCAGATTTCAGGCACTGATTCCTAAGCCAGAGTGTACTAGAAGGTGCCTGACCAGTCTTTCCTCTTTTTGACCACTGGTTCCTGTTCCAGGTGGAAGTCCTCACTCCTACCACTTTGTAGACCACACTGTGGTGCTAATGTGGGTAGGCTCACCCTCCGGCCTTCTCCTGGGCCCTCTGAGTGCTAACAGCAAGACACAGGAAACACCAAGAAAAAGCAATGCCTAATGACGGCCACATCTCTATTTTAAATACTTCCTATTCCCTGTCTATAGGAAAATGGAGACTGGTAGAAAAGTTACTTTAAAAGTAAATTCTAGCACTTTAGTGAAATATTTTTAATTAGGACTGAAGAAAATAACTGGAAATTAATAAAGGCATATAGCTACAATTTCTGTTACCAAATGTGAGCTACATATTAAGTATATGCTTATAATTTTAAAAAGCCATATCAAGGTAAAACACATGAATGTTATTAACTTCAAATTTGATTAAATTTAGTACTCTATGCATTATAATAAATAATTATACAATTATTAACTTCAAAAATAGGTTATTAGCTATATTGTAGATTATTGTTTCCAGACTGAAGATTGTAGCCCATTTGTGTAGTAAAATTAGGTTAGGGGGTTGGAACCATTTAATTTTTTGAAAAATGAAACCGAATAGAAAACATAGTACATTGTCATAAAGGCAAGTCTTGTTCAGTTTTTATGTATGTGGGTGTATATAAAATGTCTTTTACTGTGTATTATAGTCAAACAAGTTTGAAATCCACTGTTAGAATGTAATAAAAAGACTGTCATAGCTTAGAACCAAAAAATGTAAATTACTATCTTTTGAAGAAACTATATAGCTTCTTTTTCAAGATTCTGACTCTGTGAGGTGTCCACTTTGTAGATGTGAAGAAAACAAATCTCGGAGCCAGGATGATTATCAAGCTGCAATGAAAAGATTAATCATGGCTGCTCGTATATCCGATCCAAAGCTTTTCATTAAGCACATGACTGTCAACGTTAATAAGGAACAGGTTTATAGTTTGGAACAATGGTCTGCCCGGAAATGGCTGAAAAAGAATATGAAGTGGGCTGAAAAGGTTTGGCTTTTCAATAACCACTAGTTATTAAAGGCTTTTTTTTTAAGTTCAAGTACTCATTGTTGAAAATAAAAGGCCCTAAAAATAAAGACAGTCTTCACCATATTCAGCTTTTGCTCTTTATTGACTTATAGAAAGTTAATTTTCAAACACTAAAGATTTTGATTGATGTATGCAGTTTATAACAGTTTTATCCATACTGAAAATAATTTTTCGAATTACTTTTTGACTTCTCTTTAATTTAGGTAAACCTAAGTGTCGTGAATTCTAATTTATTCTGAAATCCAAACAATGGAAAATCACAAACTGAGTGTTGTGCAGCATTTAATAAGAGGGAGACATAAAGTGGAAATATGCAAGCAGGTGTCTGGAGCCTTCGGAGAAACCTTTAGTGGTATGAAGTACATCTCATGAACACTCAGTCCACTCTCTGAAGCATAGTCTACATTTGTATTCTAGAATAGTAAAATAAATTGGAAAATGACTCAAACACCAAAAGTTCAGAGTACTTTCTGAGTTAACCAAAATTTTTAAATTATTCTTTTTTCCTTTAGGGTATCTTAGAATACTATATGTATCTTGAAAATTTGTAATTTATGTAAGTCACATTAGCTATGACTAAAGAACTTTTAAACAAATATATCAGAACTTAAATATCCAAACAAGGATTGTTCCTTTCAATCTTATTATCTTATTTCAATCTTATCTTACTATGTTCCTTTTCTGAAGCCATCTTCAAAATCTGTAGCAGTCATTCTCCAAGGTGGTCATCCTCAGTCCTAAATTTGATAGTTTAGATACTTTAAACCATAATTTAAAATCATCTAGAGAAAGAGTCTGAATAAGGTAAGAAAAGAATAAGTGGTGACTAGGGGGACTGAAAGTATTTCTTAAAGGAGTTCCCAAAATAGAGTGTTGGCAGCATCATTGGAGAAATCTATAGCCTCACAAAAATAAAAATGTTAAAACCTAGAACTTAGCAAAATGCCTTACTATGATAAAATGTGGAATGAATAGTCTTGTGAAGGGGAGATGGGAAATGAGGCAGAAGGAGACATCAAGAAAGAGGCCCAGTTCTCTAGTATGAACAAACTGGGTGACTGTCATTACTGAAATTCAGCATCTAGGAAATAAATTGAGTTTGGAGATTATTACCATGAGTTTAAGGTGCCTTTGAGGACAAGTGGAGAACAGTAAGTGGGCAATTATAATTCAGTCTTTTCATAACTGAAACCCAAAGAAAAGAACTAAAGAAATATGAGACCATTTAGATGCTGGTGGCAAGGATGCATTTGAAGGGATGAAGGTGCAAGAGATGATAAATTAAGGTTTTAGGAAAAATGGGTTTGGATGGAATGGATCATAAGTTGACCAGATTGTTTATAATGAGAAGTGAAGAACCCTTAGGGCTGGAACAAGACGAGGTTTTTGTTTTTTGTTTGTTTGTTTTCAGCTCAGTCAACAGTGCCAAAAGGTAGGAGAGGGAAAAGAGTGGTAACTACATTTGCCTATTTCTTCCATGGCAGTTTATGGGGGTAAACAAAAACGAAATACTGCTATTAGAAAAAAAAAAAACCCAAGCTCATGGTGGAGAATGCTTATGGTTTCAGAGTATCCAGATGTTAAAAGGGGCCAAAGTCAAAAGGAAAATGTGAACCAGAGAAAAGAAGAAAATTTTAATTAGCTATATTTATGTAAAGAAAGCCAAAGGACAATCTTCAGTAAGACCTTCAAAGTATGAAGCTCTCAGCTCCGAAAGCTTGCGGGCTGATCCATCAAGCCAGCCTTGTCCCTCCCCTGCACCCTGAGATGGGACACCCGGGCCATCCTTACTCCTGGCGTCTGGTGGGAGGAGGAACAGGTCAGAGAAAAGCGGCGTGTGGACCCTTGCCAGAATGTAAGTAGCAGGAGGAGGGGAGGGGGGTTCCGTTTGTGCCTGCGGGCTGTTTGGGGCAGAAATGGAAGTCGGTGCGGGCAGGGCTCAGAGTCACCTTATCTCGTTGTGCTAAGTTTTGAACCAAGGCAATGCCAAGGACTGGAGTACCCGTAACGCATCTGTTTTAACTTATTTTGAAATGAGAGACCTAAGATGATTTAACGTTTTATTGTTTCCAACTATCATATTTCCCCAAAGCCTTTGACTTACCGTAGGAAATTGCTGTGATTCACATCTCATAGCAAAATATTTAGAAAAGGAAGCTTAAAAACCTAGATACTTTGCTTTGCTATAATTTATTAATTTATCCAAAGGGCTTCTTGTTTTTGTGGGGGTTTTGCCTTTTTCTCTTTCCTAAGAAGTATTAAACTGAAAAGCAGTGAAAATTTTCCTGCTTTTCTCTCTCCTTGATAGAACAAACTACTTTTTAAAATCTTACAAAATAGTTGCTAAGTAAAGTCACAGTTTAAATGAGAGCCACCTGAGGCTATTAACTCTGTTAAAATAAGTTACTTTCAAATAACAATTGTGCCAGATGGCCAAAGATCAGTAAGACCTCTATTTGGCAAACATTGTTTCTATAAAAAGCAACTTAAACAAAAGTTTTTCTTAAACTACTCATAATTTGGCTTTTCCACCAGTTTAGATATCTCTACCAAATTTGACTTGAAACTGCACAGATTTAGTGCCTCCCTTTAACAGCACAGAATTTAACAGCACAGTTAAAATCAGAAATTTTCATTTTATGAAATAGAACGTAATTACACTATTAAGTGGATTACAGCAGCCATTTACGATGGTTTGTAAATGAACTGCGTCCTTCCAACCCTCCATCCAGAGGATACCATCTCCTTGTAAAAACCTTCCAGAACCCAGCCGTTCTAAGTGTTACCAGCTGGGAGTTTCCCCTCACACTCTGCATGGCAAAGTCGCTTCACTTGCTGCAGTGTTTTGTAATTGCCTGCTTGTGTGTGTTCTTCCACTCCTGCTCTCTCTCCTAGTTTTTGGAGAGGTGGGCCTGTCTTGATGTTTTTCTGTTCTCAGTACTTGCATACAGCCTGGCACATAAATGCTTGGGTAAATGCCTGTTGATGAGTTGGGTGAGTTAAGGCCCCCAGAGTTACTCCCAGGTGTGGTTAAGGCAGAGGAAACTTTTTAGTTTTTTTGTAGTATGCCTGAGGCCTTTTCCTAATGGAAGGATAGTGGCTACCTTGATATACGGGCAAGAACCACTCATGTATGAATTTGAAAACCAGAATCTTGCAGTTGACCTGGATGCCCCAGGCTTTGGGACTCTTTCTCACTAGCAAATGGAAGCCCCAGTTCTACTCTGAAGCAGTGGCTCTTCAATCTGCTGATGGTAATTTGATTTTCTGTGTAGCTGATCCTGTAAGGAAAAGAACCACAAATCTGAATCTTCTGGTCTTTTTAGCAATTACATTTCTCGTAGTAAATTTAAAAGTTGTCATTGGTAATTATCAGTCAGGCCCCTTATCTTTCATCTTCCCAGGGCCTGTTTATTTCTGGCCGAAGTGATAAAATTGGGTGCTTGGTCTTGTAAAGATGAGGACTAACCCAAGATGTGTGGCACAGGAGAGGGCAAGCAGCTGTGCCTGCTGGCCTTTAACCTTATTTACGCTAGATTTTTTTTTCTCATCTTAAGAATTGGGTAAACCATACAGGAAACAAAGAACAAGTTCAGGCAAAATTTAAAATCTTCATTTGACTTTTAGCATACAATTGGGTATCTAAAGATCTTTCCCTAAAATTGTATTAAGCAAGTGTATTTAAAGAATTAAAGCTTAAAGGTTTCCTGCCAGCTGCCTTGGTCCTATAGAGTGATAGAATCAGGGTTCCTTAAAGCAGTGGTTCTCAAACTTGAGCTTTGAGAACCACTTGCCCTAAAGGATGGTTCCTTCTCTTTCTTGCCTTCTTATCTTCTGCCTTTTCCAAAACTGAATCCTGATCTGATCACATCTTCCCTGTTACTTAGTTGTCAGAGCCCACTCTTAAAGGAGAGCTTATGGGAAATAACCAATTTTTTCCAAGAATTTAAATAGGAAATGATCATCTTAGAATAATAATTTGGTTGAGTGTAGATCAGAATTATTAAATGAGTATCTTTCTTATATACATAGGCATTTTCCTATAGAAATACCACCGCTGGGTGAGAAGGGAAAGTTGTTGGCAAAAAGAAGTCATGTGCCCTCTCCTATTGGCCCTCCACCTCCCAGTTGATAAATACTGTCTTTAAAAAACCAATATTAATTCATAAAAAAAGGCAGTTGCCACGGAACAATATGTTTTATTTTACCCACTTCGATTCTTTTCTATTTTGAAATGAGAAGTGCTACCACTGTGAACGCTTAATGTTTTTATTATTAAGCAAATGCTAACTTTCTTTGTCTTTGAATAATAAGTCATATTTACTTGTTTGGGTAGATTCACTGTGTTAGCTAAAGTTTGTGAAATTAAGTTGTTCATTTGTAAATTTTGACTTGTCTGTAGCCTTATAGTGTCTTTTTAAGACTTTCAGGCATCGATCCCTTATTGCAAGAATTCTGAATTTTCAATCACAAAACTTGTTTTCAGGGAAAATGTTGCATTTAACTGTGTGCTCTGTCTATAGATGAGCCCTCATTAGAAGGGGAAAAAAAGAATTCTGCAGGTTTTTATACACTCTGAGTTGAATAACAATAGTTACCACTTTTATGAATTTTCTGCTTGTCAAATGTTGCTAAGTCAGTTACGCACATTATTTTGCTTAAGTTTCACAAAAATCCTATGAGCGAGGTTGCACCTACTTTCACATGATGTCCTCCTAGAAACATGTACAAAAGTCAGATGCAGGATTCCATATCCAGAGAGCTCAAAAATAATTACAGTGTTCAAGAGTACATTTCATCTTTTAGAAACAATCTTTAATGAATATTTCCAGCATTTTAAATCCGTCTTCCAGCATGTTTTCTTAAATACACAGCCCAAATAACTTCAGTCTAATAAGCATCAGATAAAAGCCAACAATGATACACATATTTATTGCTGTTTCATTTGTATTAAATTTGTTAGTCCTTGTTCTCAATATTAGGATTGTCATTTTTCCTTTTTTATAAAATCAAGACAAATTTCAATAAAATTCAGTAACTCAGTAGACATTTTCTACAGCAAACACAAAGTTTCTGAGCAAACTACTCCTGCCCAGCTGGCTATAGTATGGTGTTAGCCCCAAGTATTCTCTAAGTTAATGACAAATTTTATATTGTGATTTTAGGGCAGTGTGTAGTGATAGTACATATGACACAAGTATTTTTCCTGTGACATACATGCTGGAAATCTTGGCATTCTGCACACTAATACACGAGACAAGGTTTATGGAGGGAAAATACCATTCAAAACAAGACATGTGGAAATTTCTGGCTTTTTCATCTGCACTGGCAGCTTCCCAGATGGCTTGATGTGGAAAAATGCAGACACACTTGAAGCCCTAACTGTCTGCTTCTTAAACCAAGGGAAAGAACTACTAGGGGACGTTCAGGTGTTTTTTTCTATTAAGGGTTTTGTAATTGTAAAAAGCCCACCTCTGGTCATTTCCAATCATTAACATGCTGGGGAGAAAAATGCATGTAACATCTCTCCCCTGCTTACCAACGACACACAAGTTAAGCTAATTCATCTTAAAGAAACCAACTGCTCCTGGACCATCTGTCTTATTTACTAGATGAGGAAACAGACTCAGGAAGGTGAAGCAACTTGTCCTTGCTCGCACAGCTGGTAGTGATGGAGTCAAGATTTGAATTCAGATCTTAGAGGCTCCAACCTCTCTAACCATTGTGCAGACTGCCTTCTCTGATAATGTCGTGTTAAATTTGCCTTGAACTGGCCTACATCAACGTGGTCCAGTAGAAATACAGTGTGAACCACAGATGGAATTTAAAGTTTTCTGGTTGTAAATTAAAGACAGTTAAAAGCTGGTTGTGTTTTTTTTTAAAGCAAAAAGATTAAGTGAAATTAATTTTAATAAATTACCATTTTGACATCTAATCAGTATAAAAAATTATTAATGTGATACTTTGCATTCTTTAAAATCCAGTAGGCACTTTACGCTTAAAACACATCTCAAATTGTAGTACTCACATGTGCTAGTAGCTACCTTACTAGAAAGCAAAGTGTAGATTCTCATTCTCTTTACTGCAGTGTGAACCTTTTTTTAGGAAATAGCCTATTTACCAAAAAATGAGGCAGAAAAACACCTAACTCTTAATCTATAATAGTCTGACTTTTAAAAATTCTTTATCTGGAGAACTTGATTTAACATTCAGACTTGTATTTGAGAACATTTTATTTTCTTTGGGAGAATCTCTTGTCACACTTCCAAGTATTAATGTTCTTTACTAGTCATTGCTCAGTACTAAGTTTAATTATCCCCATGAATACAAAGCAACAGTGAATGAATAATTTTTCTGGGTAAGTAAAGACCAGTACTTTTAACTACAAAACTTTTTGTTGTTGCTTTGATTATTTATGATGGAAACACTTCTAAAACATGCTCTATAATTCTCTGCACAACATACTTTGTGCTCAGTATTTGAAAGTCATTAAGGATAGATACCCTAATTTTTGCAATCTTGCTGTGAGTGACTCTTTGGAGACTAGTTCTCAAGTAACTCAAGACAAATCTTGTAAGTTGCTTTCTTGGCTCAATCAGCCTCTTATCAGTTCTTATTCATAAATGTTTAGCTATATAAACTCCTAAGCAGTATAACTGGGCTACTTGCCTCTCAAATTCTTTGTGAATCAAATTTGAGGCAGTCAGTCTTTTCTAAGTTGATTTCAAACAATTTTATTACCTTTTTAGTATACTTGAACTTTTAAACTTCCTAACACCTCTTTTATTTCAAATCAGTTATCATGAGTTTCTTTCCACCATTTTGTTTGTTTTGATGCCTTACTTTTGAAAATCCGGCCTGGAGCATGACTGTTGGACAGACTACATTTGCACATCGGATGGAGACATTTTGATTTCATGAACTTCTAAGATATTGCTGCAACAGATGAGTAAAACAGGTTACTTTGCTGACATTGTAATCGTAGGCCTAAGTGCTTCCTTTGATTTTTGTTGTTGTTGTTAATTTTTAAGAACGTACTCCACCTGTTCATTTTAAACAGACGAGGCAATAAGAAAAAAAAGGAAAGGACTTGCTCACTATCACCTAGAGAGAGCCAGGTCTGGACTGGGTAGGGTTGTGCATCTCATCTCTTCTTTGCAAGCTTCCAGCCCTGTACCTGTGCCATCTTACCTAAGTGCAGTGTTCAGTTACTTGTGATGACGTTTGGTGAGATTTCAGTCCATCACGGGCAGCACTGAAACGTTAATCAGAATGGTTCTTTCTTCCTCATTGTGTCTCCATTTATTCTCAGAAATATTCCAAATGGGAGGAGTATTTCTGGTGTCTGTGTTACAGAATAGCAAGGTGAATGGTTAAGTAAAAATCACCCTTTTAAACATTTAAATGAATGCCTGTAACACAGTGTATCCACAAGACTCTTGCCGCAGCAGTCAACCAGAAAATAAATATAACTATACACTGTTGTTTGAAAATGCACTTTTTTTTAAATAGGCCATTCTTTGATTTTTCTTTAAAATACATCTTCCTATCATTATGTTAATGACACTTATGCTTCATTACATTACCTTTGTTCAGATATATTAACTGCATTATGAAAATTTTTTTAAAACATTTTTAATGCATAAAATTTGACAGAATAGGACTTGAGCCTTTTGGTGGTTTGTTCTCAATGAGTATGCTGCTCTGCAAGTCTATGAGAATGGAGGCATGGAGAAAGCTCAGAGCTTCAGAAGCAGGGGGCAGAAAAGGACTTTTTACCTGGTGATTTTTGTGTAAATAATAATAATCACTTTTCAAGACTTCTATAAGAGACTGCTCATAGGATTTTTAAAATCACTTGGTCAGTTGACGTTGGAGACTATAGTTTCATTGAAATTCTTGCTGAAGCTCTAAATTGTTGGAAAACTTCATGTGATTGAAATCATGTTCCTTTTACCTACTTAACCTTTTTAAAAAATAGACTTTATTTTTTAGAGCAGTTTTAGGTTGCCAGCAAAAGTGAGCAAAGTACAGAGTTCCCACATATCCCCTCCCTGCCACACACAACTCCCACCCCTTGTAGGGTACGTGTGTTAAAATCAGTGAACCCACACTAACATCATTATCACCCCAAGTCTACATTAGGATTCCCTCTTGGTGTTACACACCCCAAAGGTTTGGACAAATGTACAGTGACGTGTTATCTACCGTTGTAGTGACTCTGCCTTAAACATCCTCTGTGCTCCACATCTTCATCCCTCTTCCCCTCCAAACCACTGATCTTTTTACTATCATCATAGTTTTGCCTTTTCTAGAATGTCATATAGTTGGAATCATACAGTATATTATCTTTCCAGATTGGCTTCTTTCACTTTTTTTTAATATATAGTTTTATTGAATAGTCAGTTTACAATGTTGTGTCAATTTCTGGTGTACAGCACAGTGCTTCAGTCATATATGCACATACATATATTCATTTTCTTTTTTTTTGCTTCTTTCACTTATTAATGTGCATTTACATGTCCTCCATGTCTCTTCATGGCTTTGAGGGCTCATGAAATAATAATAATAGCACTGAATAATACTCAGTTTTCTGGATGTACTATAGTTTATCTGTTTACCTACTGAAGGATATCTTGGTTACTTCCAAGTTTTGGCAGTTATGAATAAAAGTAAACATCCGTGTTTACTTGTGTGTAGACATGTTTTCAGTTCATTTGGGTAAATACTAAGGAATGTGGTGGTTGGGTCATATGGTAAGAGTACCTTTAGTTTTGTAAGAAAGCACCAGACTGTCTTCCATAGCGGCTGTACCATTTTTCATTCTTACCAGCAATGAATGAGAGAGTTCCTGTTGCTCCACATCCTCACCAGCATTTAATGTTGTCAGTGTTTTGGATTTTGGCCTTTCTAATAAGTGTATAGTGGTATCTCACTGCTGTTTTAATTTGTATGTCCCTGCTGACATATGATGTGGAGTGTATTTTCACTTGCTAATTTGCCATCTGTATGTCATCTTTCATGAGGTGTGTTTGCTCTGTTTTTTAATCAGATTGTCCATTTTATTGTTGGGTTTTTGTTTTGTTTTTGTTCTTGTATGTTTTGGATAGCATTGCTTTGTCAGATATGTGTATCTTTTGCAAATATTTTCTCCCAGTCTGTAGTTTGTCCTCTCATTTTCTCTACATTGTCTTTCCCAGATCACGAGTTTTTAATTTTAATAAAATTCAGCTTATCAGTTCTTTCCTTCATGGATCGTGCCTTTAGTGTTGTATCTGGAGTTATTTGTCATACCTAAGATCATCGAAGTTTTCTTCTAGGTAATCTTTTAGGAATTTTATGGTTTTGTATTTTACATTTAGGTCTTTGACCCATTTTGAGTTAATTTTTGTGAAGGTCTGTGACTGGGTTAATAATTTTGCCTGTGGATGTCCAGTGGTTCCAGCACCATTGGTTGGAAAGATTATCGTTGCCCCATAGTATTGGCTTTGCTCCTTTGTCACAGATCAGTTGGCTGTATTTTTGTAGGTCTGTTTCTGGGCTCTCTGTTCGCTTCCACCGATCCATTTGTTCTTTCACCACTACCACACTGACGTGATTACTGTAGCTTTACAGTAAGGCTTGAAGTCCAGTAGTGTTAGTCCTCCAGCTTTATTCCTCTTCGATATTGAGTTGGCTATTCTGAGTCTTTTGCCTCTCCATGTAAACTTTAGAATGAGTTTGTTGATATCTGTAGAAGAACCTGCTTGGATTTAGGTTGGGATTGCATTGAATCTGCAGACGAAGTTGGAAAGAACTGATGTCTTGACAGTATTGAGTCTTCCTGTCCATTAACATGGAATTTCCACTTACTTAGTTCTTTGATATCTTTCATGAGAGTTTTATGGTTTTTCTCATGTAGGTCTTATACATATTTTGTTAGATTTATAACTAAGTATTTCATTGGGGGGCATTAATGTAAATAGCAATGTGTTTTTAATTTTAAATTCCACTTATTCATTATTGGTATCTGCTTAACTTTTTCAGCAATTGATGGATGCCTGGGAATTGATCTGCATATATACTCAGAAATGTTTTGCCACCTGAGACCTGTGAGGAGGTAAGTTTCATGGTTCAGTCTGTAACTAGTGTAGGGACGGGGTGGAATCTGTTATGTATTTGGCTAATTTCAATTTATTCTAATTTATCAAATTCTAAATATTTTGTGGATATTATGGTGGAGGGCAGGAATAAAAAAAAAATCATGTGAACATCCAGATCTTTCTTCCACAAGTTCCTTTTGGAATAGAAGGTGAAAAGAATACCATCTTTCAGAACAGTTCAGTGTGAAAAGTTTAAGAGGGGAAAAAGATAAAAATTTGTCCTTAGCACGATTCTTATCGCATTGCCCTCAAGCCAATGGCTGTCATATAGAAAACCATTTTACATTGAAATTGTGTCATAAGGTCATTTGACTACTACATTTGCTGTTTATGTGTGTATAATCTAAATCCTATCTAGTACTTCAAGAAAGGATTTAAGGAGTTCAGCAGTAAAATTTAGTTGGCACAGTAATAGGCACATATAGGGTAATCAGAATAGAGATTAGATGCCCTGTAGGGAAAGGAGATCTTTTGTTAAAAAAAAATAGGACTGATTAAACAATTACTTACTAGATTTCATTCTGGCTTCTTGATAGTCAAGTCAAAACAGGTAAATTAAGTATTTATTTTATTATATTTTAAATTGAAGTATAGTTAGTTACAATGTGTCAGTTTCTGGTGTACAGCACAGTGTCCCAGTCATGCATATACATACATATATTTGTTTTCATATTCTTTTTCATTAAAAGTTATTAGAAGATATTGAACATAGTACCCTGTGCTATACAGAAGAAACTTTATGAAACCTATTTTTATATATATTGGCTAACATTTGTAAATCTCAGTCTCCCAAATTTACCCCTTCCCAACCCCTTTCCCCAGTAACTGTAAGATTGTTTACTATGTCTGTGAGTCTT